GGGCTGATCAACCAGCTGCTTCAATTCATGCGTGGGAGCGAATGCGTAAGCTAAGAGCTCTCTGTGTAGGCAGTTTACAGAAAATGAGGGACAATAAGAAAAAACACATTCTTATACGATTTCTTATTTTCAAAAAATAACTATAACCTTAAATTATTCATAGAAAAAAGCACGCGCTCAACAGAATAACGTTATTTTGGAGAAGTAGCCATTTACAAATCTGGCGCCCCGGGCCACTCACTATTTGCACAAATTAAATGTGGCTTTCGACGCCCCTCGCCCTCTTGGTCCTAGGGTTTTATACGCCGTTGCACTGCCGATTTCTGTGATCCCTGATACTGATACGTACTAGCTCGGTCTCGATGAATAGGTAGTTTCCGTTCCATCTATGGAAGTATCATCGCTTTGTATCGGATATAATTTTTACTACATTATAGCAATATTTATAAAAAAAACCGTTAGTATTTTCTGGAGCTCCAATAAAGGTTTTGCGAACGATGTCACACAAAAGGCAGTTTCTTATAAAACGTAAGCATCACGCACACTTGATGGGGAAAGCAACGCTCCAGGTATAGTGGAGAGTGTTGGGTTTGATTCTTTTATTTTATTTGTTAATGGGTAACTGTTGATCCTCGATCCGCCGCGAGAGCAGAGATGGGATCTACGGTGTAGCGAGCTTACCCAGAAGGAGCCTATTCACTCTGGCTTTAAAAAGAGTCTGATTTATATACTCGGAAGTACATACGCATACAGGCTATTTCACTCCTTCGCTGTACGCGTTATGAAAGTCGGAGTCTGAACGTCCGATTTTATGGGGTGGTTGATTTCTATTTGTAGTTAATGCAAACCGATAGGATAACTGTTATAAAACAGTGCAACGGACAGCAAGTTTCTTCCACTCGCCTTTATGTATACGTAAATTGGCTTCTTACAGCTTAGGGCCTAAAATTTTATGTACCTATAAACATTTGTATTGACGAGATTAATTCAACTATGTATTATATAAAAACTTACAATAATGAAGTTTGATTGGAACTGTGAACAGATTTTAAACGCAATTACTATGAACATATCTATAAATAAAATATCATTGGATATCCTCTTGATTCCTTTTTATTTGTTATGTTAGTCCAGAAACTCTTTGGTTTAAATATTCTTCGATTTTGACATGTATTCATTAAAGCGCTCACTTTCAATTTTGATAGCACCAGTAACGTCTTTGACCTATTGGAGGCCCTGCGCATATTAGGATAATGGGCCCCCTATGACTTCCGTGTGGTGATTTAACAAGAACTAGGGACTTTGTATTTGATCTGAGGTCCCTTTTTCAGGGGTCCGAGGTCCCCTATCGATCGCGGGGCCCTGGGCACTTGATAAAATTGCCCAATGAGAAAGACGGGTCTGGATAGCACGCTGACGTAGTAATGAAACTGAGTTGTAGTCATGAAGGTTTCCGTAATTACGATATTTAGATATGTTTTTTCTTTTAACATTTTAGTTAATGCACTATTATATTTAAGATATTTTATGACACTTTTTTTTGGGTACCTATGAATTTGTCACGAACTTTGTAAAGGCAATAAAATAAATTTATTTACTGCTTGCCTAGTGATAAGTCATTTAATAATGTATTCCGATCAGTATCTAGGTGTTCAGATGATATTGCTAAATAGTCAGCTGAATTATATTTATAAGATATTTTACTTTCTTGAGAAAGCATGTGGATTTTAACTTGATAGAACTTGGCTAGAAGAGCAAAATACTTTTTAGTGCACTGATAAATAGGTAGGATAGTGATTAGTCCATATTAGGCACGCATAGTCTTTGTAGGTAATTAAAACTAGGTGGTTTTGCCTGAGCTTATATTTGATAAAAATATTTAGAATTTTCAAAACATTAATCACACCACAGAAATAAATATTGATATACTTATTTCTGTGAATCACACGCACAGATGCATTTTAGAGAGAGATTAAATAAAACCTGCCATTGATAGAAAGTCCATATTAGTATGTGATTTTATTAGTATTTCTAAGGATAGCAAAAAAAGTAATAGGTATTAGTGACCTGCCCTCGCTTTGCTTCGGTGTCAAATTTAAAATAAAAAAACTGTTTTAGGTATGCGTCACGCATTTCTCTAACATAAAATAGTATATTTTTTTATGTTAGGAAAATGCGCCCACCTTGCCTCTGGGTAAGACACGAGGTTACCGTCCGTGTAAAATTATGAAACTCCTGGTGAATACCGCATTTAAATGCGTTGCGTCGTTTAAGAGGACTTCGCGGACATTTAGGCAGACGTGAAATGCGACTTTACTTTATAACCTATGTTTAGATTTTAATGGTAGCACCATTATCTCATCTAATTTGTGACCTTGATGTTTTATTGCATCATTCAGGCAACTTTTCAGCAATCTACAAATTCGTACACATTATAAACAGGTGTAACTTTCCTATGAATTTTTACTAACTATAAGTAAGTGATACAGTCTTCATTGAAATACATTTTACTATAGGCTTTGCAATTTAAAGTATTAAAATATATTACCAATTTATCTTTAACAACCTGTCTTCCTCCAAGGTTGATGAATATTGTACAATTGTTGTATCCTGTTATTTATATGAAAATCCGAAGATATATTGTTGAATTATTTTAACGTGGTAAATATAAAGGTGATAATAAAATTATACTATAAAAATGGCTTGCAAACCTGCTTATTGTTATTATAATTATAGTTTTACTATGTATAAGTATCTGGGTGAGAGAATATTGTATCAATTAATGTGAAGGTACAAATAATAATTGTGAATTTTACAAGAATAGGAATGATGACAGGATAAATTATACGAAATTATATTAAGTCCGCCATTTAGATTCTCAAAAATAATGGACACATAATTTTTCTTTTGTCAATCAACCAAAAAGTTAAAGATAGAGCGCGCCAAAGTTTGGGGGTGGGGGCTCATGACCGTGACGTCACTTCTAAGTAAAAACTGTACCAAGGCGTGACGTTATGCGACATTTCAAATCAATATTATATCTGTAATGTTTTGATTATGTGGGGAAAAATGTGGCCAATACTTTTTGGTAATCTGCCTGATAGACCAAGAAAAATTTTGTCATCATCCCTATTATTTATACTGCGATATAACTAGCAGCATGCAATTCATTTGATGAAATGCTACCACATAGTGGTTATATTGGCACATGTGGCTTTGTAATTATTATTAGTGTTGCAGCGAATATGGGTCCTGCCGAATGTTCGGTTTGAATACGTGCCGAAGCAAACTGTCGGCCGAAATTCGGTTAAATTTCGTGTACTTTTACTCAATGAAAAAAATGTTAAAATATTTATGATTTTTTTTTTAAGCATTTAACTGCTAGATGTTTAAATCTAAAGAAAAGTTTACTAGAAAAAAAAACAATGTTAAAATATTGTTTTTTTAATAAAAAAATACCAAAAGGCAAAGTATCATTATTTAAGAAATAGGTTACAAATAAGAAAGAATGATTTACTTTGCTGATTATTACAATTGATATTTATTTTAAAGTATATATTGATAGTTGATGTTTTTCTTGTATAAAAACAAATGCTAACCGTGATCCATGTTATACTTATTTGCTTTAGAAATCATTATTTGATCATGATTTCATTTCAAAATGTTTCTTTTCACTTTTCTTTTTCAAATTAATTTAATTACACCAAATATTGACTGGCATTCGGGAGATCAAACCAAAATTCAACCAAAGACGAAGTTTGGTAAAAGCTGCCGAACACTCAGTAATATCAAATGTGAAACGAATTTCAGTGCATCTCTATAAATCTTATAATGTTAATTTTCTTAGAAAAACAAATATTGATTATTTGTGATCTGTTTATTTCAAAACTTATAAAGTTATGAAAAAGAATAATAAAATGAATTGTTACTTCCATATTGTATTTAAGATTTTTAATATTACTTTAATATTGGGATTATTACAGGGTGCCAAAATAATAATAATGATAATACCTACATATAAATTAACACTTAATTTATATGAAAGTTTGAAGCACTGTATATTTTACTATATGACAGTTGAGGATCTGGTGAACAAAACGGTATAATTATGCATCTGGTCTAACTACTTTTTTTACAGTGCAAGGTATTGGGCCCGTTGAATTTGAATCCCAAATAATTTTCAATCAAAACCACCTAAAACAGTGTTAAAATTGATAAATTAAAAAAACCATGCCAAAGGCTCACTGGCGGTATGTTATTCAGTTTTATACAGCTCCTGTAAAATTTAATTTTATGCAATTATACTGTATTGTTCTCCAGCTGTTCAGTTTATTTCTATTATTTCTTTTTAAATCGCTGACACCAGAGAAAAAAAAAACAATTAAGAGGTCACACTGACATTTAACATAGTTGCTTGTTGCAGAATATGTATATTAGTACAATTAATTTTGTCATAATATAGTTATTAGACAAAGTGCCAAATAGATAAAAAATGCCTAAATTCAATTATAGTATTAATGTTTAGACGTAGATTGCACATTACATGATGTTGATACAAAGACAATTTTATTTCATAATGCTTACTGTTTACAACAGAATTATTGTTCCATTATTAATTAATCAATGGCTGTGAATTATTGTTAATTGTTACTATAAGATCAGATTACATACAGCTTGGCAATATTTTTAATTTAATATAATGATAAAATGCTACCCTCTTTTTATTTCAAATAACCAATACATTATTAATTTAATTTTTTGACTTCTCAAATGTCTACACTATTTATAATATGAGTAAATTATCTCCCATTTTAGATAAACCGAAAGATAGAAACGGAATGGTATACAAAAATCTATGAAAGCAATAAAACAGAGTTTCCTTCTTTAAAGATTTACTAGCAAGCTAACAGTCACCACAAAGATTTTCAATTGTTGCTATTTTAAAGCTCATTTATTATTATTGATCAACTGCTACAAAGAAAGAATTTAAAGAAACAGAGCAGTGTTGATTTCTTTGCCTTCAAGTTTACGAGTTATTATTCAGATTTATGAATATGCTGCTTTAAAACTTTTGCTTAAATTAATCATTAAAGATGAAGTTCCAAGAACTCATTCACTCTCTTTAAACTAGAAATAAAATAAGTTTCAAATAAAGTAACTCAATTCACTCAGTCCATCTATGTTTGCAACTAGTACACACATAATAAAGCCTCATCTCTTCTTCAGCACGTCGTGTTTGTCCTTGAAAGAATACAGCCTCTCTGTGATTACATTTTGGGCACATGTGATCCTTGGTGCGAGGCAGCGTAGGGTCGCTGACCACGTCCGGGTTTATATGCGTTAATTCATCTACTTCGTGCATAATTTTGTTAACATAAACACAATTAGAATCGGCTAGCTGTTTATAGTCACAGTTTCTACAGGCATACAGAAGAACTTTATTATTCTTATCTTCGCGTGGGTAAAGCATGTTGTTGCACTCTTGACAGAATTGTATTCCCACATATCCAGGTCCACCGTCTTTTCTACCCAGATTGAGAGTCATAATGGTGAACAAAATTACAATGCAGGATTGGAAAAAAGATAACTTTGTTTACTGAAAATACTTTACAATTCTGCAAAAAAAACAAATGCAAGCATGCAACGTAAATTGTGTTCATGAACGAATGACAATGAGTGAATGAAAGACTTTTTTTTATGTTTTTGACCACAGATTACTAAGATTATGCCTAAATATTTTGACGTAAGCCCCAGGGCTGCTACATATTTAAAGTGTAGCGCGGGTACAGACTTTTTGTATTGTAGCGCGGGTACAGACTTTTTGCGTCGCTCCCCCCCTGGGGGACGATCGCTTCCGATGAAGCCTTAGAGGCCTTCCCAGCCAGAGGCAGCCTACAGTTGTTTTTTAGTCAGTACGTCGGACATAACCATACAGCCGGCTGTAGGGTATCCATGAGGATTTCCACCCGCTCCCCCGCCTGGGAGGAAACAAAACAAAAAAGAAGCACAGACTTGCCGTTTCCGTTACTTTCCCCGTAGTATGAGCACCTAAATTTACAAAATGTCACATTTTTCATCGCGTTTAACTGTCAAACTACATAGTAATTTGACAATTGAGCATGATAAAAACGCGTTAAATATCTTATCGCCTCATATCACCGCCTTTTTTTATTTCTGCCGTAAAGCAGTTCGCTGGGTTTCGGTTTGAAGGAAAAGGTAGCCAGTGTTATAACTGGGCATGGACGCATTTCGTTATAGGCATCAGAATGGTGATTTCTGCATAAAGGCAGAAACATATCAACATGTCGTGGCATGTCGTGACCCGCCGGAAGCACATCGGTTTCATAAATTTATTAAGGTTGTAGACATATTTGTAGGGCGTGTCGTGTCGACACGAAACGACACGTGAGGTTAATATGTTTATAGCTTAAGGGCACAACCACAGTGCACGCTGGTTCAGAATCATGTTCAGACTCAGAAAACAGGCTCGTGAGATGTCAGCTTAAGGAAAGCAGGCGATGGCCGCAGTGGAGGCAGACAAACAAGACGAGGACGCGAGACGCGCAGAGATGTAAACATGTAGGAGTTTTCTAATGAATTAAATTGGAATTTGAAAACGCAATAATTTCATGGAATGATTGGGTATCCAAAAAAGGTCTGTAGGTATGTGTTAACAATTAACACGCTTTTAGAATATAATATAATAAATTGTATTAAAAATGAGAGTACAAGAAAAAAGTACTTTACCATCCACACCCATTTTTCCAGCGATGTTTCGCCAGCACCCATCAACGACATTCCTATTTGAATGGTTCTCGTCTCTTTTATCCTATACAGCAGGGTTAAGAAAAACTTTCGCGAAAAGCGCTTCTTTAATCATTATATTAATTCTAAAATATAAATCAAGAAACAAGAGAAGATCGCAAACAAGAAGCAAGGCATAAGTGCCTTTCTTAATGTTTGTTTATAACACAACCATGAAAAAGGTTACATAGACAATTATAACTTGCAGTCCGAGCGGGGCTGGTGAATTCAGTATCTGAAACAAAAATGACCTAAACATTCCGGTAAAGTTCCTGACTCCGAATCCTGCACGGGCAACCAGTTGCCTGCTGCCACTATGGCCACCCTGCTTAAAATACACTAGTGTCGATTCTAGCATGATTCTCTAAACCTAAACTTAAATTTGACAGCAGTGATGTCGATTCTGGCATGATTCTCTAAAGCTAAACTTAAATTTGATAACAGAGCATCCCTATCATTCTCTATACAGAATGAAAAGGAGAGACTGATGTTAAATTTAGTTTTAAGTTTAGAGAATCACGCCAGAATTGATACCAGTATATCCTTGTCATTCTCTATACAGAATGAAAAGGAGAGACTGATGTGAAATTTAGTTTTAAGTATAGAGTCAGGGTACGGCCACAGTGCACGCAGATTTAGAATCAGATTCAGACTCAGAAAACAAGCGCGAGAAATAAACAGTGTAGTTTAAGCAGGGTGGCCATAGTGGCAGCAGGCAACCTGCATAAACTACACTGTTTATATTTCGCGCTTGTTTGCTGAGTCTGAACCTGATTCTAAACAAGCGAGCACTGTGGCTGTAGCTTATTGCCCATTAAAGGCAGAAACGTATTTACGTATTGTGGCGTGTCGTGACGCACCAGACTTTTGCTTCAAGAAACCATAATTTAAAGTTAAAAAGAAGAACAAGAATAGAATGTGTGTTATATAATAAGCAGTGAAATGAAAATAAATACTTAGAAAAATAATCGGTTATATATTTTCGAAAGCCAAGTTATAATTATAAATTTAAAAGAACTTGGAAATAGTAATAGGAAATGGAAAAGGCTTATTTACATCTTCCAATATATTATAAATGATAAACATTTTATACTTCCCTAGAATTATTTCCAATTTTGGCCACGGGTCACAAGATCTTGATCGCACTGTATGATGCCTAGATATTTTCATTGTATTCTAAATGGAACTCAAAATCTTAATAATTAACATAACCTAACCTGAAGTAGAAGTAACTATATTTGAAACGGGTTTCTTTGAATTTGCCACAGTAAAGTAAATCAATTACTATAATATTACTTTTATGAAATTGGGCCCAGCTCTTTTCAGTTCTTAAGCGTAGTGAAATCTCACGTCCTCGATTTATCTAATGAAAACAAAGTATTTATCTTATGAAAGATCGATCGTCTTAACGATTCAATTTACAAAGAACAGCTAAGGCAAAAATATACTTATCTGCCGTATTGTGTTATGATGCGATCTGTTTCATACATTTGTACATTTAGAACTATACTTTTGTGTCACAATGTATTGACACTGTTCTCATCGTTCTTGACCTCTCGTATGAACACAACACAACAGATAAATGTAGTTCTGCCATTATTCTTTGTTATTTTTATGGTAGTATTTCAACTTAGTTTATGGCAACCCAAATTTTTTTACGGAATGTTGGCAGATATGTCGAATTCAAGCCTATGGTTGGCTGAATAATTTCTTTTCCCATCCGTAGCCGATTGGTGTCGTGCTATCCTAATGGGTAAGGTGCAGTTTGTGAAGCAAAAACTGTGAATTTTCTATAATTTTATTTATTTAACAATGTGTTTTAGTGCAATAGACGCAACAGTTATACATGAAGTGTCACAGGACGTATATTTTTCTAAATTTTCTCAAAACATTTTTCACGCCTACTTGTCGGCCATGGCGGAGACATGTTTTTTCTCGTGGTGTAAAGTAAATCTATTTCCATCTCGCTGACTGTGCGTCTATTATGAGGTGCGAAGGAGTTATTTCAAATCATGAAATGTGTAAAAAAAAAATGTTTGTAAATTTTAGTGATATTGTGATCACGGTGTTTAACCGGCGACATCAATATTTCAGGCAAGCCCCGTGGTATTCGCACGGCGCGAAAGCACGTGAATCATCGCCGTGAACAGCGATGGGCGGACAAGGATTACAAAAAGGCCCACATGGGAACGAGATGGAAGGCTAATCCCTTCGGTGGTGCATCTCACGCTAAAGGCATCGTCTTGGAAAAAGTGTATGTTGTCTTAATTTACTCTGATTTGCTAACTGTGTCATTTATATTAGTTAATTAACTTGATAACCTATTTCAACTTGTGTACGTGATGTTGTTTGTGATGCTATTTATTTGATAGTACGCGCGTACTTAGTAGGTTTGTGCGCAGCGCAAGTTTGTCAGGGTAACGTCCACAGCGCAACCGGCAGCTGAAGCAGCGTCGCTTTCTCGCGCGGTATTAATCCTGTGAATGTGTTTTTATTACAATCACAGGATAATACTGCGAGAGGCGGTGACGCCATCTACGAAGAGTTTCGTGATAGTATAATGTAAATAACGTAAGTAGCACGTGAGGTCAGTGACCTTTAAATTGAGGTTATAGTCTTACAAATTGTTTGTAGGTACTTTTTTACTAACGTGTTCCACATTTTTGTTTGTGTATGAACTGTCTATCCAAAACGGAATGATTTACTAGTAGTAAAATAAAATATAACTTAAGATGGCCTTATACTGTTAACAAATGAATGATGTAAATTTTTTGTAGTATTATAAATTATCATTAACCACCCCCATTTTTTCTATTAACAGAGGTGTTGAAGCTAAACAACCCAACTCTGCTATCAGAAAGTGTGTCAGAGTTCAGCTGATCAAGAACGGCAAGAAGGTAACTGCATTCGTGCCCCGTGACGGTTGTTTGAATCACATTGAAGAGAACGATGAAGTACTGGTAGCAGGATTCGGTCGTAAAGGCCATGCCGTAGGTGACATTCCTGGAGTCAGATTTAAGGTAATAACCTAATAACCTTGATTATTTTTAATAGTTATAATTAACATAACAGATTAGCGGAACTGTAGTGATGATAAGCATTAGTGTTTTGAGTATTTACTCTTAAGTGCTTCATGATGCGGTCTGCTATACTAATACTGTGATAAATTGTATATAATAGAATGTTGTTTGCCTTTTTTGAGTTTTCATTGTTATTTCAGGTGGTGAAAGTAGCCAATGTATCCCTCCTAGCCCTTTACAAAGAAAAGAAGGAAAGACCACGATCATAGACACCGTTCATTGTGATAAAGGTATTTGTTTCAATTTATGTTAAATTTAAAAAGTTAATGAAGAAAATGCAATATGGGCATCAAGTGTAAATCTACAATAGCACAAAATCTTGAGTAGACCAATGATTACAGATATGCTCATGTGATACTTCTTGGCACAATTTTTATATTTATTAAATTTAATCTAAAATGGTAATTAATGTACCAACAAATGATGTGAATACAATAATTTGCTACTTCTGAGTGCCATGACTTTAAACGTTTTCTGATTATCTGTTTTACAGTCCAGTCTTTGGTTTTCCTTAGTTCATAATTCTTATATTGATCTTTTTGTTACAGTGTCTTGCTGCTGCTGGTGTTGTTGATAAGAGTACATCTTAAAAAATGTAAAATCTAGTACGTAATAAATTTATGTACGACAATATTTCTTTTATTTACCACTTAGCAATTTTGAGACAAACTTCTTAGCAATCCATGGGCTCAACGGTGCGGGGTCATTGTGTGGTGATTACACTTAGTTATTTCTGACCGCTGAAGGTTTTGAAATGCATAGTGCTCTTTTTCTTTTGCATTGAATTATCAATCAATCAATTGTTATTAAACAATATTAAAAAAAATAAGGTAGAGGTATTTGAAAACCTTCAGTGGTCAAAAATAACAAAATGAATTTTGAGCCGAACTTCTTAGCAATCCATGCGCTTAACGGTGATAACAATAAGCTGAAGCCTTAGCAATACGATAGGCAGTAGACCCCTTGAGCACTTGAAATGGTGGAACATCTAGGGCAGCAAAAAAAAAATTCAATAGGTACCTAAATCACGTTTTTTTTAATAAAAAAAAATAATCCAAACTGGTTCAGTTTGGTAGAAAGCTTGCCAGTTACGCGAGGCAGCCCATGTTTAATTTCCAGTTGCAGACTTTATTTTATTTGATTTCAAAGTTTTGTTGACATTGTAGTTTAACTGTTTTTTTTTTAATTTCTCTACCCCTTTGTACGACCCTCTATGCAAACCGGCAGATTAATACTTTTTCATCATCCGAATCATTCCGTGTACAACAAAAAGTACTATAACTATAAAACTATTCAAGATGGACCATGTGGATTCCACTGGATCCGCCTTTGAGCTAGTCCAGCAAGTTTGTATTTGGCTGAGCCATCTCAAAGGTGACTGCAATACTCCATGCATGATTGAACCTGCGCTTTGTAAAGGGCTAAAGCTGTCCTGGCGTGAAGTATCGCTTTACTTTCCTTTTTTATTTTTTTTAATGCCTGGAAAATGCTTTACACCTTCAACCACCGGGGGAGCGAGGTGTCTGGGACTCCTCCCTACTCATTTCAGCCAGCTCTGGGGCTCGAAATGACCAGGGCATCCTACCTAACGCCCAGGGGCGGTTTACGAAAACGGGCGCCCTAGGCCTGATGAAATTAGCGCCCCCTCTCCTCTCCCCTCTCCATAAAATAGTTGAAAAAGCACAGGCTAGAATAAATGATTTTTATACACTCCCGCTCAAAAGTATGGGTTCACGTCTCGAAATTTTCAGCTTCGGTATAAGTTCCATATCTTGGTGGAAAAAGGTCGTAAGAGAATTTAATGAGCACCGTTTTGAAGGGGACAGTTTTAGCTTCACTTTGCCATTTTTTTATAATTTTTTACAATTTTTTTTATAGTCCCCACGCGCTTTTGAACATGGCAGTTTTTCGATGTTTTTTTGTCCTCTGAAAACGGGCTGTCTTGCTGTTAAAAAATGTTCCTTGCAATTTTATCCATCGCAGTTTGAAAGAGGATATTAAACACTGCATTTTCGTTTTTGAAAAAGTATCGTGCGATTTTTTTTACCAAAAATATTCTAATTTTGAAATTTTAAAATTGATAATTTTATTCAATTCGGCGTATCTTGAAAACGGCGGGTGATCGAAGAAAATATCAAGAGGGTGAAAAGTTGCAATAGATCATGATGGACATGGTAGATTTATTTCAGAATTTTTTTCCGACATTTGTTTTTCCATACTCGTGGAGTCGAAATGATTTTAATTTTCCCATGATTCTTTCTTTTTTCTAAACGGCTGAGGCATTGCTTTTATTGGTTTCATCTTCATCTTGACGTAATTTGAACTAAAAATTAATTTTTTTAAATGAAAAAAAACGTACAAAAAATTGTGCGAAATTTGATTTTTAGTAAAAATTACGTCAAGATGGTTATAAAACCAATAAAAGAAATGCCTGCGCCGTCTAAAAAAAAGAAAAAATCATGAGAAAATTTAAATCATTTCGACTGCAAGAGTATGAAAAAACAAATGTCGGAAAAAAATTCTGAAATAAATCTACAAGATCCATCATGATCTATTGCAACTTTTCACCCCCTTGCTATTTTCTTCGATCACCCGCCGTTTTCAAGATACGCCGAATTGAATAAAATTATCAATTTTTGTCGAAAATTAGAATATTTTTGGTAAAAAAAATCGCACGATACTTTTTCAAAAACAAAAATGCAGTGTTTAATATCCTCTTTGAAACTGCGATGAATGAAATTGCAAGGAAAATTTTTTACCAGCCAGACAGCCCGTTTCCAGAGGGCAAAAAAACATCGAAAAACTGCCATGTTCAAAAGCGCGTGGGGACTATAAAAAAAAATGTAAAAAATTATAAAAAGAGGCAAAGTGAAGCTAAAACTGTCCCCTTCAAAACGGTGCTCATTAAATTCTCTTACGACCTTTTTCCACCAAGATATGGAACTTATACCGAAGCTGAAAATTTCGAGAAGTGAACCCATACTTTTGAGCGGGAGTGTATTTCAAAAATAATTTAACGGAAACAGAATTTCAATCATACATATATTATGTAGGTTTGTGGGTAGAAATGGAGCACATATATATTTTATATTGGCGATATTGACGTTTGAGTGGACCCGATTAAAACGTTCGCTTTCTCGCTTTTAATCTTTCAAATTTATCGGCCCGTGGCGCCCCCTTCTGCCACGGCGCCCTAGGCTCGGGCCTAGCGGGCCTAGTGCATAAACCGCCCCTGCTAACGCCACACTGGTCCTGTCTGTTAAAACCAAACAATACTCCTGCACCGATCACCCGGCATACATTCTGAGGACCGAGGTCCTCCCAATGCATGCCGGGAGTGCGGGTGTGGTTATGGCACCCGCAAGGTGATTGTCCGTACACGGACTCGCCCTGATGACGATGCCCCGGAGCATTAGGGGCATCTACACCCAGAAAGCTTGTGCAATGCGAGTCCGCCCCCTATACTAATAATATAAGTATCGTTTCACCCTAGTTAGGCCGCCCAGCTACTGTTTGCGCTTTAGATACGATGGTTGCGCCGAAGTTGAAGTCCCCAGACAACTTCATGCCAAGGAGCTCGAGACTCGAGCACTGAGACGGACATACGTCGGAAAGAAGGAGTATTGAACAAAATCATATATTCAGTTCGGCTGTTACAAGCACTCATGAATGTCTAAAAGCTACGCCATCGGTTCGTAAATCTACGGCGGGAGACCTACTGAGAATAAACTCGGCAAGGGCTGTTTTTTACCCTGTTTTATTATTTACAGTCGTCAAGTTGAAAAATGACTTCAGAGATGATTCATGAAGTCACCTTTCATTACATAATGATTAAACATACGTTAACTCCCTTATTAGTAAACGAAGAATAAGCTTGGCTAAGTTACTCCATGATTTGTCTCTGTTAATCTAATGACAAATGGCATTTGAGGGACATGAACAAAACACGACGTAATTAGACTAAGTTTATTCCTGGTTTATTAATAAGGGGGTAATAGCTTACCTGCATTTTGATTGCTGTTTCATACAGTATAAATACAAATAGTGTTATTTATATTAAGTGTACTAAACATGAACATCTTCAATATCAAGGAAGTTAGGGCAGAGTCATTCCCGCTGGCAGCACCCGTTGGCGAGCATAACGCATGAACCAGTCATCGCTTCGCTCAACCATATTTTGGGGAACGTAACGACCCGCCTCACACGACACCATTCAGAGTAATTTAATTATAATAAATATTTCCAACACACACACCAATTAGCCTAGCCCCAAAGTAAGCACTATAAGGCTTGTGTTATGGGATACTAGGGTAACGGATAAAATACATATACTGTAAATATATAAGTATATTTATATAGAAATACATATTAAACATTCATGACTGGAGTATAAATGCACGTATTCATCACACAAACATCTGCCCCCACCGGGATTCGAACCCGAGACCTCAGGAGTCGGTGACACAACCCGGCGTACAAACCACTCGGCCACGGAGGTCGTCAAATTGAATTTGGAACCATGGTGAAAGGACAACAAGGTTGGTAGGAGAGAACATTAAAAAAATAATCAGGTGGCAAAGGTAATTGAAATACGAACTTGATCAGTATTATTTATTGCTAAATATAATTTCATTGCTTTGATTACAATAGATACATATTTATCTCGCATTACACTAAATTGTAGCAACTAACAGCGGTTAAAAATATACTAGGTACTCGTACAATCATTCAATAATTATAAGTAGGTAATGCATTCTAACATAATGCATCTAGAGGCAAGATAGTGGAAGAAGATCGTTTTTATGTGATTAAAGAGGAATCTGATGCGAAAGTTAAACACTTTTATTTACCATTTACATATCTACAAGTTAATATAAGTCTAACTCGCGATAATTATTTTCATAACTGATATAAGTTATTTCATGGTAGTGCAAAGTAAACCAGTGCTGGATAAGATTCTTAAGCTTAGCCTAGGTATATAATAAATAAAAATTTTAGTTGCATTTACACAAAGGTTTTAGTGCATTAAATTTCTGCACATAATAATATTATGATATAAAATTCTAGTAAGTGAAAGAAAGATTTATAATAAACTAAATGGCTGCCATGTGTATGCAGAGGTGATAAAAAAGAACTTTCGTTTTTGTATTTTATGTAAAATATAATTTTGACTTAACTTAATTCCAGAATAGAAAAGTACTTAACAACACACAAACTTTGTGTAATTTGACTTTCTGAGACATCGCAACGAATTCTCTAGCGACAAATCCATTCAAGAGTACACAAGGGCGTCGCCAGCTTATGACTAAGGGGGGGGGGGGGGGGGGGGGGGGGCAATGGGGCAATATTATAGGTAAGGAAGTCAATTGCTCGCACTTTGATCGCTTTGCGGCTAGCTACATTTATTGGTCTCTAGGGGGGGCTGCTGCCCCCCCCTGCCCCCCTTGGCGACGCGCTTGAAGACTATGTTTGTCGATCCACGCCACGAAACAGATTGTAACATTATACCCAAATAGGTAAAATATCTTTCTTCACAATATAAAAATATAATGTTCTTATAATCTTTACAATAGAAAAAGATTATGATTTTTTATAGCGGTGAGTTAAATTCAAAATACATATGTGCTACCCATATCGGTACCACGATCGGTGCTCCATTTAAACAATATATACATCGTGTATTGAAATAACGCAAAAACCTTAGACACCATTTGAATGTCTATGTAACTGTGTTAGAAATAGATACCTAATATAAATCGGATTTAATCTGAAATCACGAAATATAAAATCTCTTTTGTTTATCTATGATCACGTGACCGAAAACGCTTAGAATTGGACGAGTCTAAAATGAAGTCACACCTATGTAAACTTGCGGTTCAGGTGACATTACCTGTACCGTTTGACGTTTAGATGTCTGTCGTGTGACGTCACACCATATTACCCAGGGAAACGATTCCGCATTTTTATTGATTTAGTTTTTGAATGAGTTACACAACAGGATAAAAATAACCACTTTTTTACTAGTTTTAGTCGCGTGAATAACATAAGTTTCTTTTGAAAAAAGTTCTATTATCCTATTAAGTACTTGATATTAATTGCACAGAAAAGGTTGAGTAGTATATACCAAACAGATTCCATTCGACTCCTATTCAAATGTTTTTAGCTTTTGCGTTATCTCAATAACACTTTCAGTAGATGAGATTCTCCATTATCATACTTAGTAGCCGCAGCATATATCTATATTATTATGCTTGACAAAAATGATTTCGTTAGGTTATGTTGCGTTACACAAAGATTCAAAGCAGCGTGTTACTAGAGACACCACCTTACCATTCTCAATATTACTACACCATTCTGGCATATAATTCCATCTCATTCTTATCATAAAAAAATATCACACCCATATCCATACATTTCTCAAAAATATACCTCTGTTGGGTATAACCCAATTCAAAATCACAGTCGTAGTAAGTGAACCAGTTTACACTTGACGGACATAAATTTTACTTAACGGTACGTAGCAACATGTATTCGAAAACTATAGTCATCTATATCAGAAGCTGTAGATTCTCAACATTCACGGAGACAGACTGACACGACCATATTTTACCAAGAAAAATTCACAATTACTACTATGCACAATATTCAACAAAGGTTCCCTACTAATGTAGGTAACTACTTCAATAGGTACACTCGCGGAAAGACCCGCTCTGACACCCATAATGCCATAATCGCTTGCGGTAGCGGCGTAGTAGAAATTCATTCATAGACATGTAATTATCGCTGTCTTACTTTTTCGTATAGCGCTGTCGCGATCACGATGCGAATGAGAAATTGCAACTAAAACAAATGCAATTGAATTCATTATTCAATCAATGAAATGCTCTCTGTCTTACTTTTGTGCGGCGGCCCGGATTGGCGCTTCCGACGCGAAGGCGGGGCGTAGTAAAAACTACTGTAGTAAACCGTTCAAAGCATTTTGGTTCGCCAAGTGACAGAGCGCAAAATTCCGCGATAGTACATTAAATCCATCTACTCGAAGCACAAACAACTAGCGAGAAAGTATTCGTATCGCCATGTCAGTTTCTATGGAAAAAGCTATTTCACTCTTACGTCCGGTAAGGGCGCTTTCCATAGATGACGGTGGTCAAAGTTTGAGCTTGGGTTAATGTTTTAATGAACCAGCAGGCTTCCAGCCACTGCAATACAATTTCAATTGTTAATCATGAATTGATTTTGTGATGTCGCAACGTAATTATATGACATACATATAATGAGTTTCCAAATCTGTGTATACATTATATACATTTTGACGGCATTACTGAAATGTTGCGCTTGTTCATTTTAATTCTATCCTTAATTCAAACGTGTGTGGTATACGTATCTTATTGATTATATATTAATTAATTAATATGTTAAAGTTATTATGGAAAGTTAAGACACAGGAAAGATGATTTGTAAGAAGTTTTGTGATACAGGTGAATTTAAATTCTTTCACCGTGTAACGTGCAATGTTGCTGTTTTAACATTCTGCACAATTATTTAAACAAAACTATGAAATAAGTTAGTACAATCTAAAATAAATTATGGAAAAGCTACATGCAAAGAAAGATTTTTTTATCAGAGACATGACATAGAAGGCATAAAAAATTATTTTCATTTATATGCGAGTCGAGATTCTTTGACTCAGAACACTTGACCAGGTAAAACGTAAATTTCTAATATATTATTGTGTATTAAAAATACCTAGCTATGACAATGGTGTCGATTCCTGCATGATTCTCTAAACCTAAACTTAAATTTGACACCAGTGTATCCTTGTCATTATCTATACAGAATGAAAAGGATAGACTGATTTTAAATTCAGTTTTAAGTTTAGAGAATTCTGCCAGAATCGACACCAAAATTGAGTTTTATTTGTTTTTTAACAGGACCTGATTTAATATAACGACCTTCTTTATGCAAGTAAATAAATTTCCAAACATTTAGCTAGATATTTTTACTTCCTGAACTACAAAATATTGTGAATTCGCTATAAGAGTAAATGAGTGGTCAATAACATTTCACTCTCTGGAATGAAGTATCTTATTCTGAAAATATCTGGTGATATAGAATAAGCCATACCTAATTCATTATAAATATATGAAGGATAGATTTTGAGACGTTTTTAAACTTTGATCGTTTTCAACACATGTTATTTATACAATTTGAAGTAAAGAGACTGCTCGGTGCCGGCCGCTGCCTAATACACAATGCATTATTATTTTACACGATTCAAAATATGCAACTACGGTTATGGTACTAACGAACAAATATACAGTACATTTTTTCCCTATATTCGTTGTGTTATTTTCAACTAACACTTATATTACACGAATGGATGCCAATGATATCTTTAAAGGCTGGTTAACGATGAATATAGGTTAATAATTACACATTTTAATATTATGCATAGGTTTGCGAAGTGCATTTTTTTTAATGCCTGCATGTTTTAATAGTATTTTTTGAATAAGTAGTATGTTCTTTAGATAACTCTTTACACCGAATGACGTCGACGGCCGCAGCCCAGCAAAACAATACGCCGATTGAATTCTAATTGATTGACACGCGCTGAATTCTGTAACAAAACATTTTTAATAATAATGTAATATGCCACACGTGCTCCCATTTCTGGATTGAATGATGTCCGGGTTAGGTGTCGCTTGGGTCTTGGTGCGCGCTCTGTGTAATAGTGTTTGTAGTGTATAGTGTGACAAGGATCTTTATGAAGTCCACTCTGTATATTAGTGTGTGGAGTGTAGTGTGGCACGTACCGGGCGCGTCCGTTCGGGCTAGGTGTCGCATGGGTCTGGGTCCACTCTGTATATAAGTGTGTGGAGTGTAGTGTGGCACGTACCGGGCGCGTCCGTTCAGACTAGGTGTCGCATGGGTCTGGATCCACTCTGTATATAAGTGTGTGGAGTGTAGTGTGGCACGTACCGGGCGCGTCCGTTCGGGCTAGGTGTCGCATGGGTCTGGATCCACTCTGTATATAAGTGTGTGGAGTGTAGTGTGGCACGTACCGGGCGCGTCCGTTCGGGCTAGGTGTCGCATGGGTCTGGGTCCACTCTGTATATAAGTGTGTGGAGTGTAGTGTGGCACGTACCGGGCGCGTCCGTTCGGGCTAGGTGTCGCATGGGTCTGGGTCCACTCTGTATATAAGTGTGTGGAGTGTAGTGTGGCACGTACCGGGCGCGTCCGTTCGGGCTAGGTGTCGCATGGGTCTGGGTCCACTCTGTATATAAGTGTGTGGAGTGTAGTGTGGCACGTACCGGGCGCGTCCGTTCGGGCTAGGTGTCGCATGGGTCTGGGTCCACTCTGTATATAAGTGTGTGGAGTGTAGTGTGGCACGTACCGGGCGCGTCCGTTCGGGCTAGGTGTCGCATGGGTCTGGGTCCACTCTGTATATAAGTGTGTGGAGTGTAGTGTGGCACGTACCGGGCGCGTCCGTTCGGGCTAGGTGTCGCATGGGTCTGGGTCCACTCTGTATATAAGTGTGTGGAGTGTAGTGTGGCACGTACCGGGCGCGTCCGTTCGGGCTAGGTGTCGCGCGGGTCGTAGTCCATGGTCTTGATGTAAGCGACGGCAGCACAGAAATGAGTCCACCAATACAAAGCTTCGCCCTGAAGCGCAGACCCGCCCAGAGCGTTCACTAGTTCAATCGTAGATAGCAGCGATGCAGGATTCACCTGAGCGAGGAAAAATACAATACAATCCCTAATTACTTATAACTCGCGCCAATAAATAATCAAGATAATCTGCCTCTTTTGCACATAATAGGTTATTTGCGAGTATGAAACATGCAGTATCAATTGTTGGCATGTGTATTTAATATGAATTTTAGCAGCAATTTTACTAATCTGAGTTAATAAATATTTGATAACCTTTCTAAAAATCATAAAATATAAATTTTTTTTTGTTCTATGGTCAAGTGACCAAAAACGCCTGGGATTGGCAAATCATGCCAGAATTGACATCATTGGATTGGCTCACCTTGATGATGACGTATACGAGCACCGGCGTGAGATCGTCGGCAGAGGGCGCCTCGCACTCAGTAAGCCCCAGCACCGCCATGATGGACGTCACGCATCGCATTATGCACGACAACTGAATGAATACGATAAAAAACATATTAAAATACGTTGCATAGTTGAGAAGGAATAAATAAATATTTCCTACACTTACACCGATAAGCTTAGTAAGCACTGTAAGGCCTGTGTTATGGGATGGGTAACGGATAAAATACATGTTCTAACACAAGTGTACGAGCCCTTGTCTGACCTAACGATTACACCTTGAAACTTCTTCTTCTTCTTCATATAATAATAAAATAATAAATAAATATTTCCGACACTCACACCAATTAGCCTAGCCCCAAAGTAAGCACTATAAGGCTTGTGTTATGGGATGCTAGGGTAACGGATAGAATACATATACTGTACATATATAAGTATATTTATATAAATACATATTAAACATCCATGACTGGAGTACAAATGCTCGTATTCATCACACAAACATCTGCCCCCACTGGGATTCGAACCCGGGACCTCTCGAGTCGGCGACAGCCATGAAACCCGGCGTACAAACCACTCGGCCACGGAGGTCGTCTCATATAAAAATACGTTGCGTGGTTGAGAAAGAATAAAATTATTTACCGGGAGACCAGGGTGGGGAAGGACATCAAATATGTATTAAGATCATCATTGTGTTGGATGTGGACAACTCTGAATCGATAACTATAGCTGAAAAACGAGATGACATGCCGAAAATGGAGGATGTCTGGCAACACTGTTGGTGATAGATATAATTGTGTAAGGGTAGAGATTCATACGTCCCTGAAAAATATTCAGATAGTCTCTTATTGGTTTTATTATAAAGGCTATTTCACTATTGATTGGTAGATAGATTTGTATTAGTCTTGGGCTGTAAAACGAGGTGGCTTGCCGAAATCGGGACCTCTGGCAAAGCTACGAATATAGGTGGATCATGGGCAGTTTTACACGTTTCTGATAAAATTTCAGATAAAAAATGATAAATCCGTCAAATTTGTGAACCTGTGAGACCAAAAATTTATCTAATTTAATTTTTGCTGTAGCAGTAGTTGCGCGCGCGGGAAGGGTCCGCGGCGGGTACTGACCTTGTCGCGCGGCGTGCGGTACACGGGCAGGTGCCGCAGTAGTAGTTGTGCGCGCGGGAAGGGCGCGGCGGGTACTGACCTTGTCGCGCGGTACACGGGCAGGTGCCGCAGTAGTAGTTGTGCGCGCGGGAAGGGCGCGGCGGGTACTGACCTTGTCGCGCGGTACACGGGCAGGTGCCGCAGTAGTAGTTGTGCGCGCGGGAAGGGCGCGGCGGGTACTGACCTTGTCGCGCGGCGTGCGGTACACGGGCAGGTGCCGCAGTAGTAGTTGTGCGCGCGGGAAGGGCGCGGCGGGTACTGACCTTGTCGCGCGGCGTGCGGTACACGGGCAGGTGCCGCAGTAGTAGTTGTGCGCGCGGGAAGGGCGCGGCGGGTACTGACCTTGTCGCGCGGCGTGCGGTACACGGGCAGGTGCCGCAGTAGTAGTTGTGCGCGCGGGAAGGGCGCGGCGGGTACTGACCTTGTCGCGCGGCGTGCGGTACACGGGCAGGTGCCGCAGTAGTAGTTGTGCGCGCGGGAAGGGCGCGGCGGGTACTGACCTTGTCGCGCGGCGTGCGGTACACGGGCAGGTGCCGCAGTAGTAGTTGTGCGCGCGGGAAGGGCGCGGCGGGTACTGACCTTGTCGCGCGGCGTGCGGTACACGGGCAGGTGCCGCAGTAGTAGTTGTGCGCGCGGGAAGGGCGCGGCGGGTACTGACCTTGTCGCGCGGCGTGCGGTACACGGGCAGGTGCCGCAGTAGTAGTTGTGCGCGCGGGAAGGGCGCGGCGGGTACTGACCTTGTCGCGCGGCGTGCGGTACACGGGCAGGTGCCGCAGTAGTAGTTGTGCGCGCGGGAAGGGCGCGGCGGGTACTGACCTTGTCGCGCGGCGTGCGGTACACGGGCAGGTGCCGCAGTAGTAGTTGTGCGCGCGGGAAGGGCGCGGCGGGTACTGACCTTGTCGCGCGGCGTGCGGTACACGGGCAGGTGCCGCAGTAGTAGTTGTGCGCGCGGGAAGGGCGCGGCGGGTACTGACCTTGTCGCGCGGCGTGCGGTACACGGGCAGGTGCCGCAGTAGTAGTTGTGCGCGCGGGAAGGGCGCGGCCCACACGTGCCGCGCGCGCACGCCGGCTCGCGCGGCACTGGTGCACGCAGACAAGCGACGAATGTGTTCGCTGAGCACCCTGTTTACGCATCACGAGATATTGTTAAGGTAGTCTATTAAAAACTTTTTAGGTATAGGTAGCGACAAACCGAAGTTTGCTGGGGTTGTACGGGGAGCCCGTAACATAGAAACTGATAAAACTGATCAAATAATAAAACCGTATAACTATGAAAATAAGATATATTTTGTTAATATTAAACTGATTAAGCGAATGAGAACGCGTGGTATGCTTGATGACGGAATGCGAACTGAACGACATAATATAAATTATTAATTATAGGTAAATTGGGTTAATAAAGAAATACTGCGTCAGCAATGTAAGCGCTTGCTCGTACATATTCCCGGGCAAGAAAGAATGAGATGAGTATGGGAAGCAGAATGAAAAGTAAGACCAACAAGTTGAAATTATTTTGCTTAAAATAAATGAGAACCCCAATAGTTATTAGATTATGATTTACAAAATGATTGTTTTTTTATTAAATATCTAATTGGAGTCCACAAATTCATCCAGAACGCGAACCTCCGGTCTAAATACAATAAGAGACGACCCCGCGTCTCGCACTCTTACACTAGGCTTTTTAACGAATACACTTTTGCCTTTCAAAGATGCACGCACACTTTTATTTGCTATTTGATTGTGAATACTACACTGATTACTAATCACTTCGCTACACTGATCGCTGCTGGCTGAAGAAGCCGGCGCAAGTGCCGTTGTGGTCAAGACAACTGCAGGCGCCTCGCGTGGGCGCGTATACCTTATTTTTAACACACTACGCCAACGATATTAAATACCCTAGATACACCACATGCGCTCAAAATGTGCCTCAATCAAGAAGTGCTTTAAACACCACTCAAGCACTTCTTGGTTTACAGACACGCGCGGACCGTTGAAAAGTCAAGTTGCCGCATAACTCCGTGAAAAAAAGCGAAAAAAATACTTATTGTATGTAAAGTGTCGTTTTTTCGACAGTTTATTTTTTTCATCTAATCAATGTTTGTTAATTTAATGCATTTGAAGCAAATTGTTCTAATACTTACTATCAACTAGTTAATAGAAAATATTTGTAATATTCAAATGCATGGTCGGTAATATAGCCATCTCTTTTGCTCGCGATCCGTACCTGCTATATTTCTAACAGCGCATTCAGAATTCATTGCGCGTAGAGTCAAAGAAATTAGGTCTATATTCTTCCGCCTGTAACACTAAGTCGTAAAATTTTACGAGCTTGCATTTCGAACTGTTGATGATATTGATATTTTTTGACGCATGCTTTTTAATTAAGACCTTATACAGTATGCATTAAAGGGACTTTCAATGTTCAAATAATGACTTATATTATTTTTGACTATGCGATCATCTTACGGAGGTCCGTGTACCTTTTGGACAGATTTCGGGCACGATTTTGTTCGTATTGGTGTATCAACAGGGGTGCTCAAACTTGAACTGGTGGCGATCTACCTCAAAATTTTTAGAGTACTTACGATCGACTCTGAGAGGCTGCAAGTATGTGTGGTGCAGGGTTGTCCTACATACACGATACACCCCACCTACATAAATAGATAACTACGTATCTATATATGTAGGTGGTACATACGTAGCATATATAGATATTCGTAGGTCGATCGCGATCGACCGTTTGAGCACCTCTATAAACTAGGGTATTTAATATCGTTTCACTACGCACGGAATAGTATGTTACATTGGCCGTTTATGTTACTTTATATGGACTTAAAAAGCTAATATTGTTGTGTAATAATCATCTAATGCGGAATAACGCTATTGAATAGAAAAAAAACTGAACCCAATAAAAGCTGAACTTTTCTGTCATTAGCAGAAGTCCATCGTGTGACGCAGTTTTACATCCTAGTCTGTCTTTAAACATTTGTGAATCAAAGAAAGCGCTCCACTAACTCATTTCCATTTGGATTCTGACATTTACTTTACTTGGCTTCTGTTGGCTGGTGTTTATTATTATCTTTAAATGATAAGTATAGTTTGGAGCTCGATGGTGCAGTTGGTTAGCGCGTCCGGCTGCGATCGTTGAACTTAAGCAACATTCGCAGGGGTCGGTCATTGGATGGGTGACCAAAAATTACTATCTCGAGCTCCTCCGTGCTTCGGAAGGCGCGTAAAGCCGTTGGTCCCGGCTGCATCTGCAGTCGTTAGCACCCACCAATCCGCACTGGGCCCGCGTGGTGGGTCATGGCCCAATCTCCCTATTCCATCCATAGCGAAGGCCTGTGCCCCAGCAGTGGGGACATTAATAGGCTGATGATGATGATAAGTATAGTATACTGACTGGTCTCTCGCTATGTCTCCATCTCCGTTGGGGAACAGCACGTGCAAGTAGAGGCGAGCGAACGCGGCGCGCTCAACCGTCACTTCCAATGACTCAAGCGCGCTCGCTGATGCACCTGTAGACAGGCAAACCTTATGTTCTACTCCATAAAAGTCAAAATAGCTTTATTCAAATTGGATGCACAATACAACTCTTTTGAATCGTCCATATTTTTTCCCTACCACCAATTAAGGACACTTAGCTGTGGAGTAAAACTGGTGAGGAAAACTTCACAGCGTTAAATAATTATTTAACAATATTTACAATATATTATATTACTAGCTGACTCGGCGAACTTCGTACCGCCCAAAAGTAATAGTATGCAATAAATTAAAATTGCGACTATAATTTGAGATTTAAACTATCCTATCTCTCAAGTTGGATCGAACTGCACATGGTGTGCGAATTTTAATATAATCGGTTCAGTGGTTTAGGAGTCCATTGAGGACAAACATTGTGACACGAGATTTATATATATTAAGATATTTGTTTCTTAGGTTTTCACTCACATTACTCATTAAATAACACTAGTTTTACGTTACGTACGTTTTGCAGCCTTTTTTTTTATTTTCTTTGTCGAGCTACCTTCAAAAGACTTTTATTGAGCATTCGGATATTTCATTGGAAGATTTTTAAAACTCTGTTGTCTATGTATGAATTTATTATACAGCTAATTTAATATTCTTAACAAAATTCTTTTTTGTAATTTTGAGATATTTATTTGAAATATTATGTTGTTACGGTGCCAATAAAAAATCATATCATCTTCATCATAATTATAGAGAAAGCCTGCTGGAACCTTTGGAACAGTTCAAACCAATGAAATATTATCAGACACTTTATAACAGGCATCGTTGGTGCCTGAGCTGGATGTTGAAATGATAAAATTGTTACCGAAAATTTCGTGTTTATTACTTGTTCACAAATGTTCTTAAAAATACTACAATAATGTTATTATGTTAATGAGTGCATCCGTATAGGCGTCAAAATCTTCACTAATTTATATTTTTCGCAGTGCACCGCGGCTAATAACCTAAACTAAGCCAGGCGTCGTGACGGTGACAATTATTGCAAATATGCAAAATATAAATGTTCGGTTATTGCACCGAACAGGCTTTATCAATAAAAACTCTATGTAATGGTAGTTTTAAATACTGCAAAAAAATGCACCCGCTTGTTGACGAAATGGCTTTGCGCTCGTCTGAACCGGTCCGGTAGTTAGTTACGTATGGGACACTAAGGGCGAGGTCAGTTAGGTGTGGGACACCGGCGCTAGCGATCAAGCTTAATCGGCACCGATTCGAGTAGGAACCGTCTCGTTGTGGCGGCGACATTTACATGCCCCACCTATAACCAACGGATGGAGGAATTAATCACTCGCCATCTTTAAGGGATGGCGCTCCCGGCGTTGCGATCAATAAGTATGAAAGCCTACATCGCGCAAGATAAAATTTGGAGGCAACACTTAATATATACACTGCCCGGACAACATCAGTCGGAACGCACACAACACGCTTTACCAGGTACAGGTACGTACCTGGGCGATTTTCCCCGTCCCCCACGACAACGGCTAACTAGAGCCGAGGTCCGAGTCTCAGAGACGCCCTCTAGTTGAGCCGACCATCTCATTAGGTTCGAGTGGTCTGGAGGCTCCAGACGGAGAGGAGACTCCCCCTGCGGGGAGACGCCATCCGCCTGGAATACCTCTAGAGCAGTGTTTCCTAACCTTACCAATACTGCTACCCCTGTAACCTATTTGGAAAACAGATTTTACCCCGACTTTAAAATGTTATCATCGGTCCAAGAAATTCCAATTTGGCCGCTACATCTTCGTCTCTTATGTCACCATCAGGAAAAATTCTCGCCCCGCTTCCCACACTCAGCACCCCGCGAGCTCGCCAGCAAGGAGCGCATGCTCTATTTAGTATTATTATTATTAGTATTTTCTAATTCTTTACATTTGATCAAATAATTAGGTTCTTTGTTACCCCCGAAGTATGACTGATTTACCCCCGGAGGGGTAATTACCCCCAGGTTCGGAACCCAGGCTCTAGAGACACTCGCCAATTCTCGGCTTGAGGTCCCCTTAGGATCTCGCCGTCCCCAAAATCCGGTGACGCTGTAAAGGTCATCTGCGACCAACAGCATACATTCTCGAAAAAAAAAACAGTCGGACGGAGGCCCCCTAGCTGCCATCATCCAGCACGGAGGAAGATCTTTCCCTTCGGCTTTCCTACTTCGCACTAACGATATACAGCACATGCAGATAGCGTCAAGCCGACTGTTAAGACGCTGTCGTACATTGACAGTTGATAGTATCGTAAAGAAAAAACATTAAGATAGGCGCGATAAATGAAATAAACATTTTACCTTCCCACGACGGGTCTGCTTTCACTTCGGCCGTAATAGCCTTTATACTAGCAGTCAGTCTTGTAGCTTTTTCATCCATTAGTTCTCCACCTGAAAGTAAATGAATTTGTCAGTGTTGATACTAGAGATTCGGATATACTACGACTATAGGTCCCGTCACGTAAAATGGCCGCTGGCTTTATACATGTCCACTGCGCGATTTATCAATTATCGTGATTAATTCTTCCTAGTTACATACAAAAAGCTATTGACAGTCTTACAGTAATTCTACCTGAACCTGACACACAAAAAACAAAGCCTAATACTTTCGGCCGCGACTGTGACCATGAGCAAACACATTTTTTCCACTATCGTTAGGAGGTCACCCAATAGGTACATTTTTAAGAAAAAAGTTAGTTCTAGAAAGTTAAGAAAGTTAAATTTAACTCACAAGTTCCAATTACAGTCTCATCATCAATATATTTTATAAACTGTGTTAATAAAAATAATATATGTATGTATATATATATACATCTTTTTTTAAATATTTCCAACACACACCAATTACCCTAGCCCCAAAGTAAGCACTGTAAGGCTTGTGTTATGGGATACTAGGGTAACGGATAGAATACATATATTTATATAGAAAAGAAATACATTTATAACATCCATGACTGGAGTACAAATGTTCAAATTCATCACACAAACTTCTGCCCCCACCGGGATTCGAACCCGGGACCTCTCGAGTCGGCGACACCATGAAACGAGGCGTACATACCACTCGGCCACGGAGGTCGTTGAAATATATATTATAAATATTGTGCACAAATATTTAAATGTATTCTATGCACGTATGTTTTGGGTTTTTATTTTATAAATATTTATTTAGTTACTTTTATCGGTGTATGTTTATAATAAATCACTTTTTTTTATTATAGCCGAATTCGTGGGTTTCTTTATGACTAAAGGTTGACTGTCAGAAAAAGCTTTAAGCGTTAAGTCCGCCTTTTGTCCATTTTCGTAATTGTGACAGTAAATTTTAAATATATAAGTATCGTTCAGCCGTTCAGCGGCCTTTTTAGGTGACGGGATCTATAAAAACATGATCCCCCAGGTACCGGGCGCAGCGTAACGCGAAAGAACCCCTAAACGGGGATCCCGTGACATCGCACTAAGCAGCTAGAGGGTATTCGCAGGGTCTTTTAGCGGATATTATGCCGTAAAGCGCCCGTAAGAGTTACGGGGTCCTCAGTGGGCAGCCACTGCGGGGGCCCGTAAAGCTTGCGGGAGCCAGGTGTGAGTTCCGTTCGGCGGTGGGCCTCTTAAAGGCGCCGTCGTCTGTAAACAGAGGTTTTGCATGTGTACGGTGCAATGACCGTACATTACACGCGGTCAGCGGTTTACGCCCTCGGCGACAATTTTATTATAATTGTAAAATCAGTTCACAATCAGCAATCGACGTGTACTCATTGATCATTATATTTTAGCAATACTTTAACATAAGTTGACGTGTAAATTTACATATCAATTAAAGGTTAAATATCACTTTTATCTATCACTAGCGGCCCGCCCTCGCTTCGCTTCTGTGTAGACTACAGTTTCTGTTCTCAGGCTTGTATACACAATGACATCCATCTACGATTCTTCTTATACCTGCATGCAAAGTCTCAGCCCGATCGGTTTAAAATTGACAAAGTTTCATACAAACTTTCATCCCCTATTTTATCCCTATGTAGAATTGATCAAAATCCTTTCTTAGCGGATGCCTACGTCATAACATCTACCTGCGTGCCAAATTTCAGCCCGATCCGTCCAGTGGTTTGGGCTGTGCGTTGATAGATCACTATGCCAGTCAGTCACCTTTGAGTTTTATATATATATAGATTTAATGTACGGGATCCGTACAGTCTGCGTCATAAAAAAAAGGTACCGAGCGCAGCGTGCGGGTGTCGGTGGTGGTGTTTGGCCAGGCAGCGTAACGCGTGGCCTCTTCAGCTGGTCCAGCACGCGAGCGCCGGCCAAAACATTAATGACAATTATGCAGATGAGGTCTTCTATTGGACTGGAGTGACACCGGCGCAATTTCAACAAATATTAGAAGAAACACCATTATTAAGTCAAACGTGCAAAAGATCAAAAGTTGCTCTCTGCATCTACCTCAGTAAACTGAGAACTGGGGAATCAAATCTAAGATTATCTAATCTTTTTTGTATATCTCGACGCACTTTAGAACGCTTCCTTAAACAAGCAAGAGAATGTTTGTCCAATAATTTTGTAACGCGTCACCTGGGAATTGACCATGTCACGAGAGAAGAACTAGAAAGGAGAAACCTTTTTTTAATACCCAACAACATTTTTGGGAATCCAGGATCTGCAGAAAATAGGAAATTAATTTTAATATTTGAAAAAAAAAGGTACCGGGAGCAGCGTGCGGGTGTCTGTGGTGGTGTTTAGCCAGGCGGCGTAACGCGCGGCCTCTCTCCAGCTGGTCCAGCACGCGAGCGCCGGCCGCTGCGCGCACGCACCACGCGCACTCCACGCGGACGCCTGCGATCTGCCTGTAATTCAACATTTACGATATAGTGAGTGAAAGATTATAATACAACACGCCTGCACGTGATGAAAAATTTTGAAAGACTGTTGCAACAGCTGTCTTAGTGTCTAGATGTCACTGTTAAAAGTCGACACAAGTAGTCAATCGGGTTTGCCTAGTATATGGGCTAGTTTCGGGGGGAGGAGGTGTCCCACCCACATAAACTCGTCTCTCACCCATGGGCGGTGCAAGCATGTCACATTTTCCTAACAATGAAAAAAGCGGCTGTATTCCGCCGTCATTTAACATCAGATGGAATGGAGTAATTTTTTTTACCCTAAAGGTGAGGTATAAGTCACGACACGAAACTCAAGCGCTGACTGTTATTGCGCAAAAGTAAAAATTAAGATGTCTGGGGTGGGGGGGGGGATTGGCTTTTCAGTCGTACCCATGCGCAGATATCACCTCCGCGTTTTGTTCAGAGTCAGGTATACAGGGTGGAAATTTTTAATGCCACCCCCAGGGGAAATACTCTAAATACTGGAGATATATAATTTTACTCAAAGGAAACATTCCTTTATTTTTAAAAAGAAACACAACTGCATTCAAAGTTTTTCGAAAATTTGCTTGCCACACACGGGAATCGAACTGGCAATAATTCAAAATAATGACACCCTGTATTTTAATGGCATCGATCGATAGATTATTTATTATGGTAAATTTTGATGCAGCAAACAAGACTTAAGACAATGCGTTCTAATTCGCTATTCCATTTTCAAAAATATGTAGCATACCTCTTAGCGTACCTCTTTTAAATTACTGGCACCAAAGAGGTTGTACGGCGCCCCCCCTGAGACTGGTACCTTACTGGACTGACTCTTTAGTCTGCATTTTAGACATGTGCAAAAAATTCTTTATTCGTTATTTGAATGAATAAATGACGTCGAAGATAATAAAAATACTAACTCGTGTAATCTAGTGGGATAAAACTGCTTTTAGTCTTGTTCCATTCAGTTAAGTTAAGATTTCACGCTTTTCCTTCCATTTAATGTACTAAATTAGTTAGTAAGATATGATCCCTATGATTGATCCTATCGATCGATGCCATAAAAATACAGGTGTAATTTTTTCGAATTTTTCGCTAGTTCGATTCCCGGGTGTGGCAAGCAAATTTTCGAAAAACTGTGAATGCAGTTGTGTTTTTTTTTTAAATAAAGGAATGTTTCCTGTGAGTAAATTTATCTATCTCCAGTATTTAGAGTACTTCCCCTGTGGGTGGCATTCAAAATTTCCACCCTGTAAACGTACGTGCGCAGCGTGCGGGCGGCGTGCGCGAGGGCGGCGCGGCACGAGGCCAGGTAGGTGGCGTAGGGGCGGCGCGCGGCGAGGTCGGCGCGCAGGGCGGCGGCGAGGCGCGGCGCGGCGTGCGGGGACAGCGCGCGGGCCACAGCGCCGGCCAGCGCGGCGTCAGGTATATACGTACGTGCGCAGCGTGCGGGCGGCGTGCGCGAGGGCGGCGCGGCACGAGGCCAGGTAGGTGGCGTAGGGGCGGCGCGCGGCGAGGTCGGCGCGCAGGGCGGCGGCGAGGCGCGGCGCGGCGTGCGGGGACAGCGCGCGGGCCACAGCGCCGGCCAGCGCGGCGTCAGGTATATACGTACGTGCGCAGCGTGCGGGCGGCGTGCGCGAGGGCGGCGCGGCACGAGGCCAGGTAGGTGGCGTAGGGGCGGCGCGCGGCGAGGTCGGCGCGCAGGGCGGCGGCGAGGCGCGGCGCGGCGTGCGGGGACAGCGCGCGGGCCACAGCGCTGGCCAGCGCGGCGTCAGGTATATACGTACGTGCGCAGCGTGCGGGCGGCGTGCGCGAGGGCGGCGCGGCACGAGGCCAGGTAGGTGGCGTAGGGGCGGCGCGCGGCGAGGTCGGCGCGCAGGGCGGCGGCGAGGCGCGGCGCGGCGTGCGGGGACAGCGCGCGGGCCACAGCGCCGGCCAGCGCGGCGTCAGGTATATACGTACGTGCGCAGCGTGCGGGCGGCGTGCGCGAGGGCGGCGCGGCACGAGGCCAGGTAGGTGGCGTAGGGGCGGCGCGCGGCGAGGTCGGCGCGCAGGGCGGCGGCGAGGCGCGGCGCGGCGTGCGGGGACAGCGCGCGGGCCACAGCGCCGGCCAGCGCGGCGTCAGGTATATACGTACGTGCGCAGCGTGCGGGCGGCGTGCGCGAGGGCGGCGCGGCACGAGGCCAGGTAGGTGGCGTAGGGGCGGCGCGCGGCGAGGTCGGCGCGCAGGGCGGCGGCGAGGCGCGGCGCGGCGTGCGGGGACAGCGCGCGGGCCACAGCGCCGGCCAGCGCGGCGTCAGGTATATACGTACGTGCGCAGCGTGCGGGCGGCGTGCGCGAGGGCGGCGCGGCACGAGGCCAGGTAGGTGGCGTAGGGGCGGCGCGCGGCGAGGTCGGCGCGCAGGGCGGCGGCGAGGCGCGGCGCGGCGTGCGGGGACAGCGCGCGGGCCACAGCGCTGGCCAGCGCGGCGTCAGGTATATACGTACGTGCGCAGCGTGCGGGCGGCGTGCGCGAGGGCGGCGCGGCACGAGGCCAGGTAGGTGGCGTAGGGGCGGCGCGCGGCGAGGTCGGCGCGCAGGGCGGCGGCGAGGCGCGGCGCGGCGTGCGGGGACAGCGCGCGGGCCACAGCGCCGGCCAGCGCGGCGTCAGGTATATACGTACGTGCGCAGCGTGCGGGCGGCGTGCGCGAGGGCGGCGCGGCACGAGGCCAGGTAGGTGGCGTAGGGGCGGCGCGCGGCGAGGTCGGCGCGCAGGGCGGCGGCGAGGCGCGGCGCGGCGTGCGGGGACAGCGCGCGGGCCACAGCGCTGGCCAGCGCGGCGTCAGGTATATACGTACGTGCGCAGCGTGCGGGCGGCGTGCGCGAGGGCGGCGCGGCACGAGGCCAGGTAGGTGGCGTAGGGGCGGCGCGCGGCGAGGTCGGCGCGCAGGGCGGCGGCGAGGCGCGGCGCGGCGTGCGGGGACAGCGCGCGGGCCACAGCGCCGGCCAGCGCGGCGTCAGGTATATACGTACGTGCGCAGCGTGCGGGCGGCGTGCGCGAGGGCGGCGCGGCACGAGGCCAGGTAGGTGGCGTAGGGGCGGCGCGCGGCGAGGTCGGCGCGCAGGGCGGCGGCGAGGCGCGGCGCGGCGTGCGGGGACAGCGCGCGGGCCACAGCGCCGGCCAGCGCGGCGTCAGGTATATACGTACGTGCGCAGCGTGCGGGCGGCGTGCGCGAGGGCGGCGCGGCACGAGGCCAGGTAGGTGGCGTAGGGGCGGCGCGCGGCGAGGTCGGCGCGCAGGGCGGCGGCGAGGCGCGGCGCGGCGTGCGGGGACAGCGCGCGGGCCACAGCGCCGGCCAGCGCGGCGTCAGGTATATACGTACGTGCGCAGCGTGCGGGCGGCGTGCGCGAGGGCGGCGCGGCACGAGGCCAGGTAGGTGGCGTAGGGGCGGCGCGCGGCGAGGTCGGCGCGCAGGGCGGCGGCGAGGCGCGGCGCGGCGTGCGGGGACAGCGCGCGGGCCACAGCGCCGGCCAGCGCGGCGTCAGGTATATACGTACGTGCGCAGCGTGCGGGCGGCGTGCGCGAGGGCGGCGCGGCACGAGGCCAGGTAGGTGGCGTAGGGGCGGCGCGCGGCGAGGTCGGCGCGCAGGGCGGCGGCGAGGCGCGGCGCGGCGTGCGGGGACAGCGCGCGGGCCACAGCGCCGGCCAGCGCGGCGTCAGGTATATACGTACGTGCGCAGCGTGCGGGCGGCGTGCGCGAGGGCGGCGCGGCACGAGGCCAGGTAGGTGGCGTAGGGGCGGCGCGCGGCGAGGTCGGCGCGCAGGGCGGCGGCGAGGCGCGGCGCGGCGTGCGGGGACAGCGCGCGGGCCACAGCGCCGGCCAGCGCGGCGTCAGGTATATACGTACGTGCGCAGCGTGCGGGCGGCGTGCGCGAGGGCGGCGCGGCACGAGGCCAGGTAGGTGGCGTAGGGGCGGCGCGCGGCGAGGTCGGCGCGCAGGGCGGCGGCGAGGCGCGGCGCGGCGTGCGGGGACAGCGCGCGGGCCACAGCGCCGGCCAGCGCGGCGTCAGGTATATACGTACGTGCGCAGCGTGCGGGCGGCGTGCGCGAGGGCGGCGCGGCACGAGGCCAGGTAGGTGGCGTAGGGGCGGCGCGCGGCGAGGTCGGCGCGCAGGGCGGCGGCGAGGCGCGGCGCGGCGTGCGGGGACAGCGCGCGGGCCACAGCGCCGGCCAGCGCGGCGTCAGGTATATACGTACGTGCGCAGCGTGCGGGCGGCGTGCGCGAGGGCGGCGCGGCACGAGGCCAGGTAGGTGGCGTAGGGGCGGCGCGCGGCGAGGTCGGCGCGCAGGGCGGCGGCGAGGCGCGGCGCGGCGTGCGGGGACAGCGCGCGGGCCACAGCGCCGGCCAGCGCGGCGCCCGCCTCGCAGCGAGCGCCCGCCGCGGCCGCGCGCATCCATTCCACCAGCGACGTGCTCGTGCACCGCTATACAAACATTACGTAAAATAGACTTTCTAATACTGTAGCGGCATACATTGTATTATAAAGTGAAACTTCTTTACGCAGGCTTGACTTGGGGGGTAAGCTGGCGAATGCGTTAAGCGTTACGAATAGTGTGTTCGGCGAGGCGAACGGGGGTTAAATGGGGGATATAAGCAAAAGAAATCAGTGCGCGCGCACATTTGCTTTCTCTCTTTCTCTTATATCTAGTAAATGAAATATGTATATGTACACACATATACAGGGTGTCCCACGGCTACCTCACACGGAGGGAAAGTTTTATATTGAATATAGGATAATACCTGAAAGAAGACGTCGTTTTATTTTTAATAATAACTAGAACTGCATTCACAGATTTTTTTAAAATCACCTGCTACAAATGGGAATCAAACTCGTGAAATTGCGACATATTTTAAGATATCAATCGAAAGAGTTAATCATAAGGATTATTTTTAGCTAAATAACATGGCATTTTAAATAAAAGAAAATTGTATAATATTTAACACAAACTAATATAAAATCGGATACGCCTCAAAATAAGTTAAAATGTTGAGTTCATCATCGTTGACGTTTATCATCCGCTGCTGTGGTTTCTGTAGCGCATATCAAAACGTCCTAAATTTCTTAAAGTATCCACTAACCTTTTAAACACATATCGAGAAGGTACGGACGTCTCTATCAGGGTATCTTTCGCGGTACCACCACAAAGCTAATATGTCTTTGTGATTCATAAAATCCATTTTATTTTGATACGCCATGGTTTAACAAAAACATTGCAAATAAACGAAAATGAACTTACAAAAAACAAAAGAACGGACGCTTGAAAATTTATGTGTTCCATTTTCGAACAAATTATTTAAAAAAAAATACCAACAACATTACAGGCCATGTTCAACCCTATAAGATCGACTCTAATTTTATCGATATCGATTCGAAGTGCTAAAGTGAGGAAACGTCATAAAAGTATACTCACATTAGGTACGTATTCAACGCAGTAAATATCAGGGTTGGATAAGACCATCCTTAATTTTCGTTTCATGCTGTTGAACACTTCAGGGTCGCTAAGGTCAACGGCACCTTCAGACCTGTATGACAAATAAAAATATATGCATTCAATCATATTAATTAAATAAATATATTTATAAATCTAATAAACATAACCCAGGCGGAGAAATTAGGACCTCACCCAAACAGCTGTTAAGATATTTAGACTGGTGTTTATTAATCTATATTTAACGCACTATTACCACGCTCAAAATCTGCTATATTACCCTATTAAATCATTATAACTTTTTTTTTATAGATAGGTCCGCCAAATGACCACCCCACTAGATGTTAAGTGACGGTGAAGTCCAATCGTGAATCTTCACGATTCACCAGCTATCTAGCTGGTACAGCAGTTCCACCTGCCACACCAGCCAGCCTGCATGTTGCTTCTTCACGCCTCTTTTAAAGGAACTGTTCGGGTTGGAACTAATAAATGATAAACTGATATTGTAGTATAAAACTGTATATTTGGAGAAAGGACTAAAAATAACTATAAAATAATAATTGCTATGAGTACGCGCGACTTGATGAGTTGATGATTGCGAACTGATTTTGTGCAATAAAATTAATTGTGAATAGGTAATTTAGGTCAACGAAATGTGCTGATGTGACGATGTACGCGCTTGCTCGTACAGGAACTCAAGGTAAATGATAAATATAACTAGTTTCAACTTTATTGCGACCTAATTATAGATGGTAGACTATCTAACACTATGATTGTAGTATTTGGATGCCATGTTTCTATACAAAATAATTAACAATCACATAGACTCAGCTCAACTTGTGCAGAGTATTGTACTCAAAGTTCCTCGTTTCTCCTCACTTTCAAAAGATACCTTTTATGTTTCGAGTTGCCATACCAACTATGCTAGAGAAACCTTTTTTAGACGGACATGTAATTTTTACAATAAGAACTTGAATTTAGCAGATATTTTCAGTGAATCACTTTACAGCTTCAAAGGGAAAGTAAGTGAATTATTGTTTAAATAGTTAACATGTGCGGCGGCGATGTATATCATTTTTATTTTATTTTATTTTATTTATTTAGGTAACAAACGGTCTCTAACAGTAATATTTGCTTAAATTAAATAATGTATGACTAGACCTATAGTACCATAACTTAAATTAATATTATGTTTAAACAAATTGAGTCTATGAGAAACTTCTTAGTTACTGTTTACAAAATGTTTCAAAATCTTTACAATCTACTAGTACAACATCTCGCGAACCAGTTTTCTGTAATTATTATAAGTACTTGAAAAAATGTCAATATTGGTCAGGTTTTTGTTATAAAAATCAAGTGATCGCCTCAAATAAGAGTTTTTTGTGTAATTTGTGCGATATGGCGGGACATAAAATGTACTCCTAGACCGTGAGGAGGATCATATGTTTATAGTTATCCGTTAGCTTTTATGCCGCTTGAATATCAATTAATGGTACTTTAGGTCTATTTGTAAACATAAATTGTAAAATTGTTTGTATAAGACTATCTATGTAGATGTAGATAAATCTCAACTAATAAATTTTAATTTTACTTGTCGAAGTCATTGTCCACGTCGGAGGGGCGTCGTGCATTGCTAGATCGTCGTTTGGCTGGTTCGGTGGGAGCGCGCCGGTATTTCGCCAGGATGTCTTCGGAGCTCTCTCCTTCGCGGCATCCATCGTCGGAGCGGGCTTCCTCTTCGCACAACTTGACCTCAGCTACAGACCAATTAATCAATAGTTAGTATAGTTGACGACCTCCGTGGCCGAGCGGTATGTATGCAAGGTTTCAAGGTGTCACCTATTTACGAGTCCAAGTTCGATGCCCGATGGGGAAAATGTTAGTATGACGAATAGGAGCATTTGTACCTAATTCGTGGATTATATGTATCTCTACGTAAAAAATATATTCTATCCGTCAACCCAGTATCCCATAACACAAGCCACAGTGCTTACTTTGGGGCTAGGCTAATTGGTGTGTGTTGGAAATTTTTGTTTATTTACGTAGTGGATGTTAGCGAGAAGCTCTTATGAGCCCATGTAAGTATAATCTATCTATTTTGCGAGTTTATTACATAGAATGCGGCCTATGTGCAAACATACGCTCTCTAGTTAAGTCTTAAATTTGAATATGAAATATGACAGCGCAGCTGTTAAATAGGCTATTTGACAGTATGAAAAATAATGTACCAATTGTTAGCATCTGTATTTAATATAAATATTAGCAGCGATTTTACTATTCTGAAAGAATTAATAACTTTTCTATCAAATCATTAAATAGAAACGCCTGGGATTGGCCAAGACTAAAATCATGTCACACGCTAGTATACTCCCGGCCAAAGTGACTATGGGTGTATTCCGGAATACTGGTCAGTGTTAATGACGTCACGAATCCGACGCCATCTTGTACTGGTATGCTACCATATTTTTATCGGCAAAACGAATATAATGTATGACCGAGCGTGCGTGAGATGCATTCGAATTTTATTTCTTTTTTATTTAAAGAATAATAATGGCATCCAAACAAAAAGAATTCCTTTTAATTGATGAGGTGAATAAAAAATCTTCTTTATTCGCACTCTTTTTAATAATTCGCCGATTTATGACGTTAGTGCACTGGCCCATATATTTCGGAACAATTCACCAGTATAGCGTCGATTCATGACGTCATTAGCACTCGCCATACTGGTATATATTACGGAATACACCCATTACATTGTATCGTTTGACGTTTTAATAACAGTCGTGTGACGTCACACACTAGTGAGAAGCCATAACGTCCAGAGAAACGATTTCAAGGCAACTTTAAAATTGGATTCTTAATTAAGCTTTTTTTACTGAATTACACAATAGAAAAAAAACGCTTCACGTTGTTTATCAGTTCGTCCAAGTTACTGGCCAGTTCGTTCCCACCTACTATTCGACGCCTGTACATGCGACATTATAAATAGCCACTCACCGTTATAATGCGTACGACCCTTCTGCCGGAACATCTTGATCTTGTGCAGAATGTTGCCTCTTGAGCGTTTCACGATGTTCTTTAGTTCGTCCAAATTACTGGTCAGTCTTTGCTCACCCACTATTCTACTCCTGTGCATGCGACATTATAATTACCCACTTACCGTTATTATGAGTCTGCGAGCGACCCTTCTGCCGGAGCATCTTGATCTTGTGCAGAATGTTGCCTCCAGAGCGCTTCACGATGTTCTTTAGTTCGTCCAAATTACTGGTCAGTCTTTGCTCACCCACTATTCTACTCCTGTGCATGCGACATTATAATTACCCACTTACCGTTATTATGAGTCTGCGAGCGACCCTTCTGCCGGAACATCTTGATCTTGTGCAGAATGTTGCCTCTTGAGCGTTTCACGATGTTCTTTAGTTCGTCCAAATTACTGGCCAGTCTTTGCTCACCCACTATTCTACACCTGTGCATGCGATATTATAATTACCCACTTACCGTTATTATGAGTCTGCGAGCGACCCTTCTGCCGAAACATCTTGATCTTGTGCAGGAGGTTGCCTCCAGAGCGCTTCACGATGTTCTTTAGTTCGTCCAAGTTACTAGCCAGTCAATCCTCACCCATTATTCTACTCCTGTGCGACATTATAATTACCCACTTACCGTTATTATGAGTCTGCGAGCGACCCTTCTGCCGGAACATCTTGATCTTGTGCAGGAGGTTGCCTCCAGAGCGCTTCACGATGTTCTTTAGTTCGTCCAAGTTACTAGCCAGTCAATCCTCACCCACTATTCTACTCCTGTGCGACATTATAATTGCCCACTTACCGTTATTATGAGTCTGCGAGCGACCCTTCTGCCGGAACATCTTGATCTTGTGCAGGAGGTTGCCTCCTGAGCGCTTCACGTTGTTCTTCAGTTCGTCCAAGTTACTGGCCAGTCCGTCGTCACCCACTATCCGACGCCTGTGAATGCGACATTATAAATAGCAAGTTTTTGCTGTATTTTGTGGGCGTCAAAATGAAATATTTTTTGGGAGAACAGAACAAACTTTTTTATTTAAAATAAACTACATGCACAAATTTGATCGCTGTTAATTATACATACAAGGATTCATTAATTTAGAGCAAAATATACATATACGGTATTACTAAAAAAAACTATGTATGGTTTTGTTTCAAGTTATAATTTATCTGTAAAGCAAATGTCTTAGAAATCAAAAGTTATGGTGAGATTGGGTAACATTTGATAGCACCCTCATTTTGTATTTTCGATCACATTCCAAAGATTATTAAAACTCAAACTCGATTAAAGTTTGTAAAAATGAATGATTGAAATCGAAATGGAATGAGGCCTAGGCATGATTCGCATTGATTTTGATTTGGGAGTTTTGGTGCAAATGGGCCCGGAATTATCCTATTAAATTGAACTTATGTTCAACTATGATAGAAATAATAAATTTATCTAAATGCGTGGCCATGCTAAAAGATGAAATGAGACAGGTTGCAGCTCTGAGCTTACCTTTGGGACTTCTCAGCGGTGGCATCGAAGCTGATACTCTTGGGTATGGCCCCGGTCGAGGGTAGCTTAGGTGGTGGGGGGCTAACCCGTCGTTCCGTCACATTCTCACTGTTAACATCCTGACTGGAACTTTTATCCGAAGCGGAAGTGCCCGTTGAGTTAACAGACAGCGTGCTCAATGATACGTTACTAGTTCCCTCTCTCTTCTTCTCGATCCTCGACGAACTAATGCTCACAATGCTCGTCCTTATCTCAGACTTCACTATGCGCGATGTTAAGTTGTTCACCAAGTTAGCGGAGGTAGAAATGGTCGCGGAGCTCATTCGGGTCATAAGATCGGTGATCGTCGATCGGGCTTCCGGTTGTTCTGTGTCTATACCGGAGTCGTATCGTCTGTCGTATTGGGAGACAGATAAGGCGTTGAAGGAGCTCTCGCTGGAGTTGAGCGATCGGTCCATGAGTTCGTTGTCGTCGTACGGTTTGGACGTGGACGGCATGTCGTATTTGGAAGTGGAGGGGAATGGCCGCTCGGGCGAGTGTTGGGAGGAAGCGGGGAAACTGTCGTCCACCCATTGGCTGGTCGCGTCCGATTGGCTGTTGGCGCCGCCTTCCAATGTAGATTCGGTTTGCTCGCTGTTGCTGGATAGAGAAACCGTTTTATATGACGAGTTACGGCATAGAAAATAATAGATGCAAAAAGTTTTATTGTTATATATTTTATTTTGCATTGAACTGATAGATGTTTAAATCTCAAGAAAAACTTTACTAGAAAATATTCCACGCAGACCAGACAGCATACGAGACTCGAACCCGCACCCTTCGCTATCCGTGCGAAGTCACTGACCATTATGGTACCGCGGCTGTGTCGAATTTTCTCTAGCATTTCTTAGGCTGCAAGGCAACATCATCTCTTCGCATTGTAAGTAACCCACAATGTCAAATGATATATATAAGTTACAGTTATATACAAGTATTAAACATTTAAATGAAGAAATTTTTTCTAGTGTAATTTTCTTGAAGTTTTATAGTACTCAAATAAAACAATGATGACGGCAGAGAACGAACATTCGGATAACATACAAAATTATTCTAGGTTGTTAGTTTAGAATCAAGGCCAAAATAAACTAAGTATAAATTATTATTTTGTTTGCTTACCCATTTTGGGGACCGAAATCAAATACGTCACTTGGTAGCTGCGCAGGAGTTGATGTGCTCGGACTTTCGGGCGCTGACATTGCGTAACATGTCATCACCTGACACAAGCATGGTAAACGAAAAAACTTATAACTTCAGGCAAATTGTTGTTTTTCTAAAACTACAATATTTATCACATAATTATTAAATTTGTTTTTTAATAACATTGACATGGGGCTATCGACTTTTCAGGCATAAATACATGTCAATACTCTATCTATACCGAGTCTAATTGTTTAAAACAACGGTTACAAATACCGGTACAGATGACGGATGAAATTTGATTTAGACACACCACAACTTCTACAAAATACTTTACAATGTAAAATTAAATGTCTATAAGATTAGTATAATTTCCACAGTAAAAAAAGATGTTAACAACACTTTCAATTACCGGAAATCCGTTAACAAGTATGCTCTTCCTGTTTGATTCGATGAATTGGCCGGCGTGCGAGGGAAGATCGAGTTCTCCGCCGCGAGACAACGCGGCCGTGGCGCTTAGGTAACCTCCACCCCTTTACGCAAAACAAACTTTAATTTAATACACGCACGGTTTATTTCAAAAGAAAACAGGTTTGAAATTGGTTCTTTTATCACAAGTTAGAATAAATTGCGCAAAAGTTCGATGCAGCGACACATTGAGATCAACTGATCAATACAACGGTTTTTGGTGATATTGGGACCTATTTATTCCATCCATCCATCAGCCTTTCTCCGTCCACTGCTGGTCATAGGCCTCCCCCATAGAACGCCACATGCGGTGGCGCGGTCCTGCGCATCCGCATTCAGCGGCTCCCAGCACATTTGACGATGTCGTCAGTCCACCTTGTTGGGGGCCGCCCCACGCTGCGTAGTCCGGTACGTGGTCGCCACTCGAGGACCTTTCTTACCCAACGGTTGTCAGATCCTCGAGCGATGTGGCCTGCCAATTGCCACTTCAGCGTGCTAACTCTTCGGGCTATGTCCTACACACCGGTCCTTCTACGGATCTTATCACGTAGAGAAACACCGAGCATAGCCTTCTCCATAGCACGCTCCGCGACTCTGAGTTTTATTATGAGGCTGACATACAGAGACCACGTCTCAGTCCCATAAGTCATCACTGGTAACACACACTGGTCATAGACCCTTCTTTTCAGGCACTGGGGAATTTTGGCCGTGAGGATGTGCCTAAGCTTCCCGAACGCTGCCCATCCGAGTTGGATTCGTCGGTTGACCTCTTTCTCGAAGTTGGATTTGCCCAACTGGACTGTTTGTCCTAGGTAGTAGTAATGATCGACAATTTGGAGAATCGCATTCATAACAGATACTGGTGCTGGAGTGACATGGACATTGAACATGACCTTGATTTTATCCATGTTCATCCTTAAACCAACCCCTTGGGAAACTCTACTGAGGTCATTGAGCATTGTGCCAAGGGCTATTTATTCATTGATTCGTATTCGTGCTTTAAAATCGAACATTGACATGAGTGTGGTGGCTACTATTTAATGTTGTTTAATTTCTTTCGAGAGTTCTACTAGATATTTATTTATTTTATCATCAACAAGTTTCAACAGCGTTTTACACAATATAATCTAATATAAAATTCTAAATGGTACATTAGCCAATTACAGAAACTCACTTTGTATTCTAAATTACAATTAACAATTACATAAACGAAATACTGACAAAGATTCAAATTAATTTTGCGATAAATATAAATACTTATAATAATCAATAAATGAAGCATAATAACTAAATTTGTGTGAATGAGTGTGTGCGTTTGGTGTACTGTGCGTGCGTGCGTACGTTTCGTCATTAGAATACATAAAAATGATCATAATTTAATATTATTGTTTTTAATGTTACATAGAACTCCGTTTTACCTGTTTGTCAAGTTAGATCTTGAAGTATGCTTCGGACTGTTGATATCAGGTCTCCTGGCATTACCGTTCTGTAACAATATTGGGCATGTTTAATGACGAGTGCGTGACAGAATGCTTATGAAGGTAAGAGTTACCACTTCATATATAAATATCCGGCTCGAAGGACTACACGGAAATGCAAAAGTATGTCTGTCTGTCTGTTACCTCTTTACAGTAAAGCCGTTGAACCGATTTAGTTCAAATTTGGTATAGAGATAATTTGAGTCCCAGTAAAGGACATAGGATAGTTTTTATCCTAGATATTATCTCTTAAGGGGATGAAAATGAGGGTGGAAGTTGGTGTGGGAAGTCGCGAGCACCCACTAGTTGTTTATATCCAAAACGATTTAATTTATGGTATATCATAATGCTAGGTTAAGTTAATTATTGTTCTGGCTTTATATTAAAAAATATAGTTTTGATTATTGTATACACATATATAAAGTTATAGAAGACTTTTGCCTGAAACACAGGTTTACCTAGTTCAGGCTATAGTATAAGTTATATATCTTTTGTTATTTCTAGAATAAAGTTATTTATTGTAAACAAAAATCAAATAAACATTTATTATTATTATAGGGAAGGCCAGTGCCCCAGCAGTGGGGACATAAATAGGCTGATGATGATGATGAATTTACCTGATGGTTATGTCTGGGTGGTAGAGGGTCGTCGTGGTTGGAGGGGCGGCGCGGCCACGATGTATCGGAGCGAGCCGCCACTGATACGCAGTCGTCAGTGTCCACCTGGTATGGAACATATATAATACATATCAAATTATCGGACTACAGTAGAACGCCGATTACCCGAATTAATTAGGACCGGGGTCGATTCGGATAATCGGACATAGACTCGTAATAAGAGAAAAAGGATCTGTCACACATATAGTAACCTTATTACGTTTAACAAACACGGCTCTACAATACTAAATACAATAATAGAGGTACATAGTATCAAAAAAAACCGCGAGGCGGCGAAAAAAACATTTATTGTCTTGCCTCTAGCTTTAAACCATAATAGTTGAAATATATCTGGATTCCAGCAAGTTCCAACTTGTTACAACAAAACAAACCAAAAATAACTTGGTTTTAATTTTTTATTTTACGTTTAGGACCGATTTGGATAATTGACGATTCGGTTAATCAGCGTTCTACATGCATGCATGTCACTTAGGATGCAAGGCAGTGACGCTATGCAGGCAATTATAGTGCCAAGCAAGATAATTTGACGAAAATCAAACATCCAAAAGAAAAAATGGAATTTTAGATAATGTTACTTGTATTTTTTAATCGTTTTTTTTTTAGGTACAAATTTCAATTTTTCCAAAGATTTCTTTATTGGTATTTTAAATTAATTTGATATAAAGCATTCAGAATATAACAAAATCGCTAATGTAAAAACGAAAAATCACTCGCGCGGACCAATCTTTACAGGCAAAATTAGTTGAGCTAGATATTTACATGGGACAGTTTTTTCTTTCATAATTCGCAAAGCAAATAATGCCATCCAATGTTAAGTGGCAGTTGAGTTCAGAGGCGAAGATAGCAGCAGCAGTTTCACCTTGGTTGGGGACCCAAAAGCAGTCTTGTTTTACTAGACCAATCTACAAGTTAGTTCAACAATGAACTCGTGAACGTCATATTGGAAAACTTTGTGTAGTCCCCTGTAATACGGCACGAAGCACTATTTAGAAAAAGTGTGTTTTGCAATGCTCTTTATATTTATAGTAAATAGCCTGAAAGTGTGCGAGAAATTACCGTGACCAATATATTTAAAAACAAATTTTATAGATATATGTCAATATTTTTTAATAGAAAAATGTTACTATACGGTCCGTGAATTTGTGGAGGACAAAAGTTTTAGACTTAGTGTAGAAAAAATTACATGCATGAAATAATTACATTCTTAAATGTATCGTTTATTGACATTTGAATAAACTATGTTAAATTTATTAATTTGACATTGAAATAATTAATGATTTATAGAAGTATTATATTGCATGCCGATAAGGCAGAATATGGCTGTACTGTACTAAAATGTATCTGTGTAACAACTTGTAACCTGTATTCGCAATAAAGATGATTTGATTTGATTTGATTTGAAAACAACAATTACCTCTGTGTTCCGGTCGCTATCTGAAGCGAGCACGTCCATACTCCAAGCGGATTCGCTCGCAGTTTCTGACACGTCCGGAGCATTCGTGCTGTGAGTATTACCGCCTGCGGAAAGCATTATCTTATATATAAAATTCTCGTGTCGCGGTGTTTGTGGTTAAACGGCTTTCCCGATTCTCATGAAATTTTGTGTGCATATTGGGTAGGTCTGAGAATCGGACAACATCTATTTTTCATCCCCCTAATTTTTTTTATATTAGGTGTAGATAATGGACGGGGGCTTTCCTAATCAACGGAACTAGGTAGATACATGTGAGAGAGACTTGGCCATCAGGCAGCCCATAGTTTGTTTTTATATTATCATTTTTTTCTTTTTCCAGAAACAACTTAATGTGAGTGTCTTTCAGTCTAATGTCTATTATCTATGATGCGAACCTATAGATAGATAGTCATTATCGCCAATAATCGTTATTATACGGTGGCGACTTGGATTCTAAGAATGCCGACTTGATATAAGCGTCGACGCGCAGTCCGCGGTGACGCGAGCCAGTCGCACATAAACACCCATCCCGTCAGGATCATTCTTAATTCATTCTATATAGCACACATAAGCTTTTATTAACTGTTCCACAGGCGTCACCACCATAGGGTATTTGACAAGTTTTAGAAAACGATCTCACGTTATTGACTAATGCTTATGGAGTCCGTAAAAAGTGGATATTCATCATTCTGTTGTGTATTTCAGTAAAAATAACCAATTCAAAAACGCCATTTTCAAAATTGCCGCGAAAACGTTTCTCTGGACAATATGGCGTCTTACTAGTGTGTGACGTCACACGACTGTTATTAAAACGTCAAACGATACTATGTAATGTCACTTTAACCGGAAGTTTACTTGCGTGTGACGTCATTTTAGGCTCCGCCAATCCCAAGCGTTTTGGGTCACGTGACAATAGATAAGAAAACTATTATCATTTTCGTGGGTTTTTCGTGAAATTATGAATATTTATTTGTAAAAATTGTAAAAACACCTACCATTATTCATTCTAAACACAGATGCCAGCAATTGGCATTTTATTTTTAATACTGTCAAATACCCTATTATAATAGTGAAATCTATTAGTTACCTTAGAAGTAGCCAAAAATACCTTGATTGGCGGGCAGCTGTGTGTGGTCGCAAGTGTCGCCGATGGTCTCCGAGTCGGATGCCAGCACGTCAGTACTCCACGTGTCCGACATTATGCTCACCGTCTCGTCGCCTTCCAATAGTTTCTGATCAACAAACAGAAGGAACAACAATCAAAAGCGATTCTAACTTTATGGCGGTTGTGAAGTTAGCAGCGAGTGCGCCTACTTCACAGTACCTTTCGTTTACTGCGATGTGACTTGTGCTAATTTAAATAAAACTAGTTTTTCACGAGTAATGCACGAAACTTTATTTATTTATTGACGTTTCGCAGCCTTTACAGGCTGCATCTGCAAATTTATTCCAACGATGCAGCCTGTAAAGGCTGCGAAACGTCAATAAATAAATAAAGTTTCGTGCATTAACCCGTGAAAAACTAGTTTTATTTAATGAATGATGTGCGTGAAAACCTAAGAAACAAATATTGTGCTAATTTCATTGATTTCGGTCGCATTATTCAAGCTATTACAAACCTTTAAATCTAAAGAAAATTCTACTTGAACAAAATTAATAATTATTGTATGCATTCATAAAAATACAAAAAAGTTTAGCTCGTGCTAGTATTCCACTTGATTTTTTTATAATATCAAAAATCTATTTAAAATGTTACCTATTTTTCCTTCGTTATGATGATAGGTATAAGATTTGAAAAGTTCGTATATTTTGCGTACGATTTCGATTACTCGATCGTACATGGTACATGAGCCAAAAAGGTTGCATAAATATGATTTAAATCGTATGGTTGGCACTGCGCCTTCATCGTCACCTTCTTAGGGGACGATCGCATCCGATGAAGCCTTAAAGGCCTTCCCGGCCAGAGGCAGCCCCTACGGGTGTTTTTTATTCAGTAAAAGTCTGACATAACCTTGCAGCCGGCTGTATCCATGAGGATTTCTCACACACTCCTCCGCCTAAGAGAAAACATTAAAAAAAAACACTGCGCCTAACAACCACAATAGCAGAACAATCAACGTGTCATTGAGCTGCTGAAAAAAAAATTAATGAAGCACCGACAAACAAATCTCAGCTTTTTCGTTCTAGGGTCTTTTTATTATCATTTCTCCTCAACCTGAGCTAAGCAGTCACAAAGATACAAAAGTACAAAGACTGATAACTGATATTTATGCTCAAACTTGTGAATGAGAATACTGCTATTCTCTGCGTGTCGCAATCATACTATACAATAATATACTATATTAATAACTTATGGTTCTAATTGAACTTGGTCGTTAGCCCGAAAACGATTGCCAATGGAATTCGTATAAACGAATAAGTGTAAATGAACGGAGTCGAGTACGCCCGTATTTGGGTGGTTTTCGTTTTGGTTATTCGACATCCGCATCCATTCCAGCGTAAACATTGCTTCGGATGCCCCGAATCCGAGTAATGTCTTTCGTGCACCTGGGTACGGGCTAACGACAAGTGTAATAGGGTATTTGACAAGTTTTAGGAAACGATCTCACGTTATTGACTAATGTTTATGGAGTCCGTAAAAAGTGGATATTCATCATTCTGTTGTGTATTTCAGTAAAAAAAACCATATCAAAAACTCCATTTTCAAGTTGCCGCGCGTCTTACTAGTGTGTGACGTCACACGACTGTTAGTAAAACGTCAAACGATACAGTCTAATGTCACTTTAACCGGAAGTTTACTTGCGTGTGATGTCATTTTAAGCTCCGCCAATCCCAAGCGTTTCGGGTCACGTGACAATAGATAAGAAAACTATTCTTTTTCGTGGGTTTTCAGTAAAATTATGTATTTTTTTTTGTAAAAATAGTAAAAACTCCTGCCAATATTCATTCTAAACACAGACCCTAAAAATTGGCACTTTATTTTTAATACTGTCAAATACCCTATTGAGTCACTGCAGTTAGAACACAAGCTCACCTTGATCTCGAACTTGCAGAACTTATCGTCGATATCTGATCGCGTCTGCTTCATCATCTTGGCTTGTGCGCCGCCCGCCTGGCTCACGGGCGCGTGCGCGGGCACTCTGCAAACGAATATGTGCTCTATTGACTACGTCACAAGTAACAAAATACTATATCAAATTCGCTCAACACAGATCTTACTATACGATAATTCTTCCTTTACAATGTTAAACAAACAAAACTGGACAGGCGACACGAGACATTCTGTTCTTCCTTCGTCTGATTTCTGACAGGATGTTGGGAAAAGGAAAGAATGATTAGTTATGTTACTTTTATGAGTTTAATAAATCATCTTACAACTATGAAAATAACAAAAAAAAAAACACCCGATTCAGTCTAGTCGTCGCAAGCAAAGCTTCGTCGTTCATACATGTGCAAAATAATTTTTCGTTAATAAACTAACAGACAGTGTAACTGTACAGAACAGAAAATATGTAATTTTTGCGAAACTAAAGTTAACGTGAACAAGGTTCGGTAGTAATACTGTATACAAATATATACATACATACATAGCAAAATTGTATGGTGTATTATATTTTTTTAATAATAATGAGCTATACAACACATTGTTTACATTCCTTGTATTGAGTAAGTAGAATAACGCACGAGCCGCACGATTAAAAAATTATAATACACCGTAAAAGTTTGCCATAATACAATATCAGCTTCCGCTCGCGACTTTGGACCCTTTAACTTTAGTTTCGCAAAAAAATAATTTCATTGTCTGATACCGTTATTGCACCAGGCGCGGTCATGTCCCCTGTGACCCCCCCCCCCCGCCCCTCCCCCCAAATGTAAGGTTAAATTGAAAAATCTCAAAAATGGCAAACAATATAAGGAATTTTCTACCTACCCCCTAACAGCGATAAAATTAAAGTTTGTTGACATCTAGTGGTGTTTTTATGAACTACGTACGATGGTCAAAATAACTTGGAAATGACATCTAGTACTTACTAGTTTAGAAACAAGGAACCGAACTACGTAGTTTTGGTAATCCTAACAAAATCAATATGCGTCGTTATGATAAAGGTTGTATAACAATATTTTATAAGTAATGTCTAAAATAGAATTGTGTCTTGTGCAATAATGTTTATTTTATTCCAGATACCTATTTTTATTAGTGTAGTGAGTGACCCCCTCCAAAAGTTCAGACTGCGGCCTGTATTGCACTAAGTTACCTGCGTGGCGGCGCATCGCCGTCAGTTACTTGTGAGGAAGGCGTTTCCCGGCCCGATATGTTGGGGCTGCCGCGACCGCTCACGTTCGCCGATACCTGATATGAAATAGTGAACAACATCACGTAAATCTAAAGAAAAGTTTTTACTAGAAAAAAATCCACGCGGACCAGGCAGCGGACGGGACTCGAACCCGCACCCTTCGCAATCCGGGCGAAAGCACTGACCATTATGCTAACACGGCCCTATTGGCCGCGTCGAAATTTTCCTAGCCTTAAGCTGCAAGGCAGATTTAAACATCTAGCAGTTAAATGCTTAAAAATAAATAAAAAAACAATACCACGTAATTTTGTTTTTTAACACCAATTAGATTACCTCCAAATTGAGCACTGTAGGGCTTGCGTTACGGGATACTAGGGTAACGGATAGAATACATATATAAATATATTTATATAGAAATACATATCATACTTTCATGAATGGAGTACAAATGCTCGTATCCATCACACAAACATTGCCCCCATGGGGATTCGAACCCGGGACCTCTCGAGTCGGCGACAACATGAAACCCGGCGTACAAACCACCCGGCCACGGAGGTCGTCAAAAATTGTTCTTATTACAATGCTATGCAAAAAAAATTGAAATCAAAAATTTATTTATTTTCCATGACATCAACAGTGATCCTTGGTTTGTCTTTATTTTACATGTGATGATCTGTTGCCAGAAATAGGTTTCAGTAAATAGCAAAGAAACCTGTGCTACAGGTCATCAGGCCCAATCACAGACAGCAGGACTTCCTCGAATACTATAATACCTTCGGTCAAAATCTATACAAACAGCTGTTACCATATTTTTTCAACATGTTTTATGCGACATTGTGTATTCATCATTGTGTTTATTTTCGCAGGTCTGGTTTTTTGGGTGTGTATGCTGTTGGTCGTAGATGACCTTTACAGCGTCACCGGGTTTGGGGACGGCTAGATCCTAAGGGGACCTCAGGGGGCCGAGAATTGGCGAGTGCCTCTAGAGGTATTCCAGGCGAATAGCATCTCCTCACGAGGGGAGTCTCCTTTTCGTCTGGAGCCTGTAGACTCGAACCTGAGGGGGTCGGCTCAACTAAGGGGAGTCTTTGAGACTCGGACCTCGGCTCTAGTTAGCCGTTGTCGTGGGGGGTCTACGAACGAGCTTTCGGGTTGTGAGTTTTGTGGTCCAATCGGCTGAACTCCGATAAGTTAAATAAGGCAAATAGGTAATTTCCAGGCGGATGGCATCTCCCCATGGGGGGAGTCTCCTCTCCGTCTAGAGCCTCTAGATCACTCGAACCTGAGGGGACTTGTCTGGTGTAATTTATTGGTCTTATTGTTCCAATTAGAATGCGGGTGCCGGGTGTTTTCCCCGTGTTTCAGTAACCCCAGCACGAACCATTATCGAATTCGAATAGTTTGCAAACCGAAATGTCAATGTCAAATTTCGTATGGAAACTTGAACAGCAGCGGCACAAAGTACGCAACGAGAACTTAAAAATCAGTACTCATTTGACACTGACACTGACACTTCGGACTCGCAAACGTTACGAATTCGATATTGGTTCGTGCTAGGGGTACAGTATCCGAACGTGAGTAAAACAATGGCAAAAACGAGCGTATTCGACTCTGTTCATTTACACTCAGGCGTTTGTCCGAATTTCATAGTCAATCGTATTCGGGTTAACAGCCATGTGTAATTGAGCCATAAGTGTAATTGCGCGTTAAGTATGTGTTACATTCTCACCATATCGGAGAGGTTATCGTTCTGGTCTTCGGTCTCGAGCTCGAGACTGGAGGTGACGCTGTGATTGGATGCGGCTTCGGACACAGCTTCCAGGTTGTCCGAAGTATTCCCCAGGGATACTTCGTCATGTGACACCGAGAACCTGTGCGATTAAGGATAATTAAAATACACCAAAAATAACTCTTCGAGAGACATTCTTTTCTCTTGTCTCATTTCGTTCTCTTTTTCTTCCTTATATATTTTAATTTTTTATTCTTACATATTGAGGTTCTATATATACTAGTATTTATGTTTACATCTTTGTATACCAAATCATAATCATAATATATCTCTAGCACTCTTTAAGTCGTTATTTATTTTCACTATAAACATTTGATTCACCTTTCTTTTATCACATACATTTTTTACATTTTTTATTTTTAGGGAAATAATAGCATTAATTTTTACATAAAAAATATAACATTAAGTTTAAACAATTGCCTAGGTTATTTCCACTATTATTTATCTCACATAGTGTCTAATAAACATGAGAGAAAAAAGAAACAATTTTTGACATCATAATGAACAAAAATAAATAAAAATGTTGTGCCCAAAACGAGTTACAAATTAGTTTTTTGAATTTCAAAGAATTAAGATTAAATATATCAATGTGACTATATTTAGAGTTGTATGATTTCATAGCTCGCACAATGTAGCGATTACTTGCATAATAGGGATGATGACTAATTTTTTTTTTCTTCGTTTATCAGGTAGATTATCAAAAAGTATTGGACACGTATTTTTTCTTTTTTCACATAATATAAACATTGCAGAGATATATTATATATTTGAAAAGTCGCATGACGTCACGTTTGAGTATACTTATAAGTGAAAATTCACTCAAAAGTGACGCCACGAGCCCCTACTCCCAAACTTTGACGCGCTATAACTTTGTCATTTTTTGGTTGATTGCCCAAAGAAAAAATACGTGTCAATTAATTTTTGATCATCTAACTGAGGGACTAAATAGAATTTCGTTTACTGTACCCCGTCATCACCCCTATTAAGCTACGTATTAAGGCATACCTGGTCCGCTTCTGCACGGGCGCGCCGGGCCCGGGCGGGGCGAGCGCGGAGCTAGCGTCGTCCGCGTCCCCTGCCTCCGATCCGCCGTAGTAGCACTCCAGTACTTTCGACTCGGGGACTAGCCCTGATGGGATATGGTGATTTGCGTCAGTACATTGATAACTTCATAATTTATCCGTAACCGTTTTTTGAGACCATATCGATCCTATTTATTGTAATTATCCCATTTGATTATATTATTTCCCAAATGAAAATAAATAAATCACTACATAGTATAAAGCAAAGGCGCTTCCCACTGTCTGTCCCTATGTATGCTTAGATCTTTAAAACTACGCAACGGATTTTGATGCGGCTTCTTTAATAGATAGAGTGATTCAAGAGGAAGATTTATATGTATAATACATGCATAATATAATAGAGAAACACTGATAATTTTAGAGGTTTTTAATGTAAGGTCGTAAATAAACACCTTTTTGTTGCGCTTACATTGCAAAATCAAAATAATGTACTACACTACAGTATTGTACACCTTAAAAGGTCTACAAAAAAGTCCGCGATGGTATATGTCTATCTCTTCGGGATAACCCACAATAACTATTTTTTTATCCTGTACTTTTTAAGAGAAATAATAGATTATTTACGAAGCTATTTCCAGCAATATAACATTCATCCTTATCCAATTAAGTACCTTAAACACATTGTACATTTAATATAGACCAATTTGGCCCTTTAACGCATGTAATTTAAATGAATATTTTCATAGATATTACAGATTTAAAATGCAGGGACATAACGGTTCCGACGCTACCGGGCGGGGGGCTTGGCGGCGCGTGCCTATTGTAATTAGGTATTAGAAGAATGTCATTCTGTATAATACAAGCCTGAGAACAAAAACTATAGTCTACTCTACACTACAGCTCTACACCGAAGCGAAGCGAGGGCGGGTCACTAGTAAATTATAAATGTGAAAGTTTATATGTTTATTACTCAATCACGCAAAAACTTTTGAATGTTTTTATTTGAATGCAATTTGGTACGCATACGCATGAATTGTTTAGATACTTTTTTATCAAAATCGATTAAGAAGCCAAGTAACTCCAATCCAACTACTTTCTGAGTCTGCGTTATTTCAGTTACAAGTTGTTTATAAGATTGTGTTACGAATATGAACTCACCGACGTAATCGCTATCTTCAGCATTGGGCAGCTTGATGATCATCACTTCAGGGTGGTCTAAGGAGCCATCTTGTTTCTCTGCGTTGCCGTTAACAGGCCTGTCTTCCATTGCCCCGGTGACTGCGGAACTGGAACTCGAGCGGGGTAAGCGAGGCTTCGGCACTTTGGCTAAGATGCCGCGCTTGTTGGGACCATTCTCGATGATAGCCTCCTTCGGCTCGGAGGGAGAGATTTGCCTAGACAACGGTTAAAAGTTAAATGATTTGGTAACTCGAGCAAATAAACAATACAAAAAACCGGATTCGCGCACCGAGGGTTCGTACAAACCTGAATTTTCAAAAATATTTTTTATTATATGATGTAACTAAAAATTTACGGTTTTCACAATTTTTCCTTTAACTGTACTATAAGACGTTACTTCGTACCAAATTTCAAGATTCTAAGTTCACGGGAAGTACCCTGTAGGTTTAGGTTCCCATGCGAGTTTCGAAAATTTGCGGCATAAACTGCTGTATCTTTACATTGCTTTGGCTTAGAAGTTTGATTTTTTCACAACTCCAAGAGACAGTAGACCCGAGTATTAGATATGAATATTAGTTTGATACCTCCACGCGTTCCTGAGAAAAACGGTCTTGACAGACGGACGGACGGAAGGACAACGAGGTCAACCTATAAGGGTTCCGTTTTTTCCTTTTGAGGTACGGAACCCTAAAATAGACGCTTATTAGGTAAAGGATTTAAGTCTATATTCCATAGCCCCGGTGGTGACGGCAGAACTGAAACTCGAACAGAGTAAGCGAGGCTTCGGGACTTTGGCTACGATACCGCGCTTGTTAAGGCCGTTTTCGATGATAAGCTCCTTAGGCTCGTTGGAAAAGATTAACCTAAGACAACTGTTCAAAGATTAAAGGGCCTTATTCATTATCAGCATGAACAGCGCTATACACTTAGGAGATGGAGACACAGGATCTCTTTTACGTGTATACCGCTGTCCTGCATGCTGAATCCAGCAAGACGGATAATGAATAAGGCCCTTTAAACTTTACGCTTGTATAACTTGCGCCGATAAAGAAACGAATCAAAAAAGTCACGGTTGTTAGGATTTAAGTCTTTCTTTCATAATCCCGGAGACTGCAGAACTGGAACTAGAGCGAGGCAGACGAGGCTTCGAGACATTGGCTAAGATGCCGCGCTTGTGGGCCCGTTCTCGATGGTTTCTTTAGCTCGGAGGGACAGATTTGCGTAAAGTAACGGTTAGAAGCTAAACGCTTTGTAAACCAGCGTCAATAAAGAAGCGAATTGAAAGTGACGGTCGTTCGTATGCATTGAAATAATGTATTTCATGATGTTATCCATAAAATTCAGAATAGGGGATTTGACAGTGCCAATTGTTAGCATCTGTGTTTAGAATGAATATTCGCAAGGGTTTTTACTATTTTTACAAAAAAAAATCATAATTTTACTAAAAACCCACGAAAAAGATAATAGTTTTCTTATCTATTGTCACGTGACCCAAAACGCTTAGGATTGGCAGAGCCTAAAATGACGTCACACGCAAGTAAACTAAAGGTTAAAGTGACATTACATTGTATCATTTGATGTTTTAATAACAGTCGTGTGACGTCACACACTAGTAAGACGCCATATTGTCCAGAAAAACGTTTTCGCGGCAATTTGAAAATGGAGTTTTTGATTTGGTTATATTTACTAAAATACACAACAGAATGATTAATATCCACTTTTTACGGACTCCATAAACATTAGTCAATAACATGAGATCGTTGTCTAAAACTTGTCAAATACCCTATTCAATATCGTTTATTCAGTCTAGGCTGTTACAAGCACTTTATGAATGTCGAAAAGCTACGACATCTGTTTGCAAATTTGCGAGGAACGGGCGACCTTGTACTGAGAAGAACCGGCAAGAAACTAAGCAAGAGCTGTTTTTCTCTCTCTGTATTATATATAGAGTCGTCAAATTGAAAAATGACTTCAATATGAGATAAGTCATGAAGTCAACCATTATGTTATACGTTTAACCATATAACCGGTGATTGTAAAACTGGAGCTCGAGTGGGGCAAGCAAGGCTTCGGGACCTCGGCTAAGATGGCATGCTTTGCTTGTTGGGATCGTTCTCGATGATAGGCTCCTTAGGCTCTGAGGGAAATATTTGCCTAGATAATGGTCAAAGTTAAACACTTTGTTGACCCGTGCCAGCAAAGAAACGAAAATAAAATGACGCTTATTAGGTTAAAGCATTTAAGCTACATTCCAATTACTTCATTTTAGCGGTTATTCTCTGTTTAAAACATTAATTCTTAAAATATATACATATATATATATATATAATATTATTACAAAAAGGAACACATACAGGTTTGGTCCTTCGAGTCGTATAAATCATCCCTTAAACTGGTATTACGCTAAGTAAATCTTATATTTTCTCCTGTTTAATGTAGTTTTCACCGTGTTAAGCAATGAACTAGAAATAATATGAAATACGAACTGCGCTTAAAAGTAGCTCCATGTAAACTGCGATCAAGTGGGCTGGGCGAAAAAATGTGATCAATACGCCGACCATGGTTGGTTGGACCTTTATCTCAACCAATGTATGAATAACCGATTTCATTTGCAGATATTTGATTCGTGATATTTAGTTGAAGTTAAATATAACTAGTATGAGTTTGGAGCCAAGTTTTAGCGGCCTCTTTTAAACAGTAATGCTTCCATATAATTTACAAACTTCGTTAATGATAGGGTACATACATCATCATAATACTCACTTGACGTCGGCCAGGTCAGGCATCTTGCGCAGCAGGTCATGCAGGCGGCTGCGGTAGTTGGGCTCTATGGTCTGCAGCAATAGAGCAACTCTGGAGGCACACGCTTCGGCACCAGTGCCTTCCGTGCCAGCTCCGCCTGCTTCACTACTGCTGCTGCTGTAGTAATAACATTATACATTCATAGTGACCAAAAATCTTCTATATCGAGTTCCTCCGTGCTCCGGAAGGCACGTTAAGCCGGTGGTCCCGGCTGCATATGCAGTCCTTAGCACCCGCCAATCCGCACTGGGCTCGCGTGGTGGGTCATGACTCAATCTCCCTTTTCCATCCATAGGGAGGGCCTGTGCTCCAGCAGTGGGGACATTAATAGGCTGATGATGATGATGAACATTCATAGTATCACCATCATTCAAAATTCAAACATTCATTTATCGAGTTTAGGCTTTTACAAGCACACGCGAAAGTCGAAAACTACGGCAGGAGACCTTGTACTGAGAAGAAACGGCAAGAAACTCAGCAAGGGCTACTTTTTCCATTATCAGCCTGTAATATTCCCAATGCTGGGACACATGCCTTCCCCATGTATTAGCAGAAGATCCGAACTTGAATCGACCTTCACCGAGCTGATAATAGAATGAAACATATTATATCATGGATTGGTATGTTAGAAAATATATTAAAAATGGGTTGTCTAAAAAAATACTGGACAGATTATTTTTAATTATTTTTTTCTTAGGTTTTCACGCACGTCACTCATTAAATAAAACTAGTTTTAACGGGTTAATGAACGAAACTTTATTTATTTATTGAAGTTTCGCAGCCTTTTCAGGTCTGCATCGTCAGAATAAAGATTTTTTTATTTAATTTTGTCGAGCTACCTCCGAAAGACTTTTATTGAGAGTTCGGTTCTTTCATTGGAAGATTTTTAAAATTTTATTGTCATGTATGAATTTATTAGTTAATAAAGTACTTTATTTAAAATTCTTTTTTGTAATTTTGAGTTTATTTATTTGACCCTAACTACCGTAAACTACCTCCGGTTCCAAAATTGGGAGACCTTTCTGAAAAGAACCGGCGAAACAAACTCAGAGAGGCTTTCTATCTCCTTCTTATGTTAAAAAAGTCATTATTCTGACGATGCAGAACTGAAAAGGCTGCGAAACGTCAATAAATAAATAAAGTTTCGTGCATTAACCAGTTAAAACTAGTTTTACTTATTTTTAACTATTTTAAAAAAAATGATTTCAAAGAAATATGTTGCAACATAAAAGTAAAAGTATAAAAAGTATAATATGTGCAGCCGTTGGGTAACGTAACTGGCCTCTTTATACCTGGCAACTCAGTAGTTCGCCCAGGTAAATAATAGACAACCCATCGGCTGCACATTTTATACGTTTAATAATGTAAGTCAGGACAAAATTTTCTTATTATCTCGATGTTGCAACATTTAATTAAAAATCATTGTTTTTATAAAATTAAAATAGTCTGACCTTGATTTTTTTAAGGCAAACCAGTTATAATGTATTTTCTAATACACCTACTAAATTCATGATAGAATATGTTTCATTCTATTAAACTACTTGACCGTCACTGAAAGCTTTATATTGAGATAGCACTTCCGTTTCCCGTCGAATTACCATCAGTTTCCGTACTTTTATTCACCTTATATCCGGTCCAGTGGCGACACCTGGCAGAAGCGCGGCCATTTTTGTTTTCCTAAGTTTTGACAGCGCCATATTAACACATTGGCGTTCTGACTCCCGTCGAAGCAACACGTCCTCAATCTGAGCGATCGTTGTGAGATTTTAAAGGTTTTATTATTATTAAGTGATAAAACTGTAAGTAAAACTATTTTATTTTAACGGTTTTTGCCGTTCGTGTTATTCCAAATAGGTACTTTACGTGTCAAAAGTGAAGGAATCGTAAGTAAAACTATTATTCTTTTTGATAGTTTTTGCAGCCCTTGTGATAAGGGATATTTAAAACAAATATGTTAAATTGTGCAATACGCTTGTTTGAAAAAGTAATAATAAGCCGTGAGTAAAACTTAACGGCAATTCAAGGTACGTTTTGTTTAAAAAATTAAAGTACCTACATTAAAGTAAATTTTGCAATACTTTACGTCTGTCTTGGTCGTTTATCATAAAAACTATTTTAAGAGTGTTTTCTCTTGGTATTCAATTAATGTTTCCGTATAAGTAAATGTGAAAATAAATTGGTAAATGTATTACAAAATACTTAATTAAATTATTTTACAGTTTAGAGTGAAGGAATATCGGTCAATATTGACGTTTCAGCCGCCGACTGACTGGCATTATTGGCAAAAACAGCAAGATGTGTGGATCTAGTCATTATTGTTCTTCGAACAGCTGCAGTAATAATTGGTTGAATTTGTCGTCTTCTGGTATAACGAAAGCGGCATCGCTGCCTCAAGAAAAATAAGCGAGCTTGATATTCCAGCCCTTTTATTAAAAGATTGTTCGAGGGGTAAGTGAACTATGTACAATCTTAATAAGGTATTTCTAATGTCGATGTGCCGTTTTCTGAACATGGCTAGCTATCAATATCTAAAGGCTTATGAATAAAAAGTTCTAACATTTTTACTGACCAATACACGTAATAAAAATTCTCATATGAGTCGTGTGACTAAACTAGGATAAAGGAACGCTCTGTTCGAAAGACATTCAACGTTTATTTTAAATGATATGCTGATGTAAATTAAAAATTATAAACATAGTCCAGGCTTTATCAACCTGGAAACAAACAACGAGGTAAAGAAGTATGATGATAATTTATGATATATCACGTTCCTGACATTAATTTTCTTTCAGCAATTGCATATTTCTAAAATAAAAATGAATCATTGCGGGAAGGCACCTGCTCAGTTAATTTTAATAACGAAAGTGATAAGATAACAGAATCGTTTCTTAGGTCTTTTACAGCTAGCACAAAGCTAAAAAGTAAAAACTAAAGCACTGCAAGAAGTTAGTGATCTCTGTGATGAAGCACCACTTAATAAGATACCATCTATGAGGTTGTTTTTATCGTATTAAGTAAGTATTTGTCATGGATTTAAGTGATTGACATTTCATCAACCTAATGAGCAACTCGCGCAGAGGCAAGTGATATTCATAAGCTTCATCTCATGAAGCCCAAGGCGTGTCAGACATGCCCTCCCATGGCGTACCTCCACATACGAGTACCGGTGGCAAATCACCCTCGCGGGGTGAATATTATGTACAATTAGTTTCCAGTACGTGGAACCTTATGAAATGCCTCTAATGCCTTGCCTACATATACGAGTACCGGTAGCAAATCACCCTCGCGGGGTGCATATTATATACAATTTGTTTCCACTACGTGAAACCTTATGAAATACCTCTAATGCCTTGCTTACATATACGAGTACCGGTAGCAAACCACCTTCGCGGCGTGCATATTACCAAAACTCTGATGACCGCCCCTCGCGGGGGCATATTATGTATAATTTGCTTCCTCCGTATGGAACTCATTATGAATAAGGACTTGCCTTCCATGGCTTGCCTACACATACAAGTATCAGTAACAAAACATCGTTGATAGAGAAATATCCTCATAAATTTTATAATCGCCCTTGTGGGGTCATATCACACATAATATATTATTTCCATTACGTGAATATCAATATATGTTCTCCTTAGAACATGTTCGCTTATGGAGTTCGTACTATTATGTAAGCACCGGTAACATACGACACTCGAGTGGAGCAAATTATGCATAATTTAACATGTAGTCTATTCGTGATTCATAATTTATTTTTGTGACCATGGGGTCTGTAAAAGTGTAAACGATTCGAAACATTAAAAATAAGTAAATTAAAAATATAATAAATGTCGCTTGACATAATTCATTACTTCCATCGCGTGGAAATCCATACATCAACGCAACGCAACATACCCGCTCATGGCTTGCGTACACACATAAGTATCGGCTACAAACTACCCTCTTAATAGACTATAAAGATCGAACATCGAATGTTGACGTACCCCGTTGGGAAGTGCAATGTACGTGGTTTTTAAGGTGTCGCATACTCCGAGGTCTTGGGTTCACCCCGGTGGGGCAAATCATTGTATGATAAAAACGAGCATCTGTGCCTAAGTTTTGGTTGTTAACAAATATGAGTTTAAAATCTAATCTAATAAATTCTAATCTATGCATCATCATTATGCATTTCCAGGCGTTAGCCCATAACACAAGCCTTTCAATGCCCATTATAAGGCTAGGCTAATTGGTGTGAAGTGTTGACTCGATCACTACGGTTGTTCTACCGTAATATATAATACATTTCAAAAGAAAAAGGAATATAGAAACAATTAATGTTTGAAAAAATTTAGTGCAGGTAAGTTGATAAATTGGGAGCTCCATAAATAATTCTTAAATAAATTTAATGGTATCGCATGCCATTCAAAAGCTTGTTTATCTAAATCCAATATATATCAAACTCCAATCTCAAGTGCAGTACACTATAAATATGTAAAGAATTCTAAGTTTTCTGCAATTTAAAGACTATCTGCCAGATAAATAGAAGATAACATATTTTCTCTTGAAAATAACAAAATTAAACCAAATGGGTTGCTCACTCTTTTGATCGCGTAATGAGAGAAACTTGCAATATTAGAAATGTCGTATATGTGGTGTCTGAGGTGGCCAACTTGATCATTTTGATATATAAGTGGTGCTAGTTACTGAAGAAAGATTGCACGATCTACCAAGTTCTTGAAAGGTTTTGAAGATCATTGTATGCAATTATCCCCTTTATGTTATTTTAGTAAAAATTACTGAAAACTGTTCTTAATATTAAACTTACGCTTTCTAACCTTGCCACGACTGTCTGGAATAAATATACTTCAAACCCTATGCATAGTACATGCACACCTCATGTAAGCTGTGTAAATCTTATAAATAACTAAATCTTTATTTAGTATTAAGTAATACATATAAATGACTCGGATCTAAGAACTGAAAAACAAAAGAAAAATTACAATCAATTATAGATTCCAGGATGGCAAATGAATTTCATAAAATCTGGTCTGAACTTCGGAATAGCATAATTTATCACGGCAACCCAGCAACAATATAAAAACTATATCAGAGAATTTCGTTGTAAAAACGTAAACTTCAGAAGTTGATCGGTTTCAACATTTTTGTTATTCCGTGGGGTTGTATCAACCACTCCCTACTTCTAACAATAATTATGAATTCACTGCAATCGACCTTGCAATCACTTCCCGCCAATCTAATATGAAAGCTTGGGAAGTATAGTTGAAGAACACGGCACGATATGCTAGCACTACGCTTTTCAACATATTCTACAAAGAGCGACAGCTCTGTCTTAAAAACAGCTATGAGATGGCTCGGAAACGCTGGCTTGCGTGGTTGCATTGGTCTAGGAACAAGAATGTTTATCGGAATAATCCCGCAAGTTGTGGATTCGGCTCTGAACTAACACGATTTTTGAGAGACTTATTTTTAACTCGTGACTTATCTTAAAATAAGTACCGTTATTTTAAATAAGTAAGTAGTTTTTACATGATATACCAATGGATGATAAGTCTAATTACCTAAGCTCACCTGTCTTGGCAAACACATATATAGAAGTCGATTGTTTTTAAAGAATCAGTCCGTAACCTACTATTCTGTGTCTATAAGTTAACTTATTTCCTTTTCTTCAATAATGTACTCTTTACATCATAATGATCTGTTTCAAATACTTCGTCATATATGTTGTTCTGAACGTCATACAGTAATTATGCTGCGTATTATTTGGTTCAGCATGTGGTACACATGACTTGTTCCTACTTCAAATTATCCCGAATCATTGTATTTGTACCGACGAAGATTAGTTTAGCCTTGTTTTGGTTCAAAACAGGTGAAAGTAGTTAAAGACAATCCGATTGGTGACTTGTACCGAATAATGGTAATCGTAAGTGGGACCCTGATTTTTGGTACTTAAGTAAAAAGTACAGTCTTGTAAAATGTAAGACTCAGTATCGAACAACTTTACATCTTTTTCTCTCGTTCGTACGCCTTATTTGTGATATACAAAAATACAAATGAATGCTACACAAGGAAGCGTCCGGTCATTAATAAAACAAATATATGTAGAAGTATATTTATATATAGTTCGCGAGTTAAGCAGCTTCGTAAGCTTGAAGAAATTAAAGGCGTGATTCAAATAATATTATTTGATTCATTTTTAAGCTTACTCGTTTCTTTATACAGTTTCATATAATCTGATAAATGTTAATATTTAAATTTATCATAAATTGTCACATTGGCGTATATATCTATGTACGTGGCGATCACCAGGCGATAACAAACAGGTCTCAATATAAAGCTTTCAGTGACGGTCAAGTAGTTTAATAGCAGCATTTTACCTGAAATAAAATGCATATTAAAATACTTACCTCACTGAAAGCTTTCACTTTAAATTCTGCCTGGTGAAATAATTGAGCCAATGAGTTAATATGGCGCTGTCAAAACTTAGGAAAACAAAAATGGCCGCGCTTCTGCCAGGTGTCGCCACTGGACCGGATATAAGGTGAATAAAAGTACGGAAACTGATGGTAATTCGACGGGAAACGGAAGTGCTATCTCAATATAAAGCTTTCAGTGAGGTAAGTATTTTTTTAATATGCATTTTATTTCAGGTAAAATGCTGCTATTATCAGCTCGGAGAAGGTCGATTTAGGTTCGTATCTTAGACTATATGGAGGAGATTGGGCCATGACTGGTCCTTTAAGAGAGGCGTGAAGAAGCAATTCTGCAGGCCGGCAGAGTGGGAATGGTTGTTGTGGCAGTTTATAACTGCTGCACTAGCTATCTTCGCGTCTAGACTTTATCAGCACTTAACATCAGATAGGGTTAGCCAAAGTATTTGCCAACTTAGCTGTAAAAGAAAACATATAGCGTGCCCAGTGCGGATTGGTAGCTGCTAACGACTGCATATGCAGCCAGGACCAACGGCTTAACTTGCCTTCCCAAGCACGCAGGAGCTCGAGATAGTAAATTTCGGTCACCCATCTATTGATAGACCACTGCGAAAGTTGCTTAACGTCAACGATCGCAGCCGAACGCGCTAACCACTTGCGCCATCAAGCTCTTTTATAGATAAGGAGTTTAGTGAAGGAACTGTCCTTATTTTTGTCATTTCTGTCACTAGAGTAAACCTTGAAAAAATTAAATAAGGTATAATGATAATGTCACAACTATAGTACTATGTAAGTAGCGACAATCTCCTTGAGCAAAACCACTGAAAAATAAACTTGCGTAGTAGACGTTTTTGTATGTGAAATTGGTATTGCATAGGTGTCACTTACCTCGACGCTCCAGTTTCTAAGGAATCTCCATTGGGTCTTTCCTCCGCCGCTGAATTTGGTGTGTTGTTGTTCAGCTTGGACGATATTCGTTTCAAGAACATTATCTATTGCAAACAAAACAAAAAAAGGTATATTATTTGTTATGTATTTGGCATAATTTTAGTGGCACCAACTTTATTTATCTGACACCGTGACAATATTTTAGTATAACGAATGTAATAAATTCTATATTTTAAGGAGATATTAATATTTGCATGACTTGTCTCTATATTGGATATATTATGTAAGCTAGCATGTATTCTATAAAATAATAAATGCTAATAGAAATAATGTAAGGTCATTTTAATTATCCTAGCTTCAATCGATAAGGCTTATATATTAAGTAATAATAATAATAATTAACTCTTCATCTATAAATTTGTATTCAGGTTACTTTCAGCCGATGTTATTTCATCAATGCATAATCAATGCAATATACTAAATTTTACTTCACAATCACTTTATTACTGTGATAACTAATGATAAACAGAGGTAGGGCATTGCGGAGTTTCCGCTCGAATCGGAGCGCCAGTCTGGAGAAGTACTACACCTTACAGAAAACCACAGTAAAACAATACTGCCTTTTGGTCGTGTTGTGATTCTGTCGATGTGAAATGCCAGGAATCCACGGGGTAGGGGATCGGGTCAGGGTAGGCAATGGTGCGAGTGATATTTTTGATATCACAAGCGTCTATATGCTATGGTGGCCGTTAACTATCAGGCAGGGCGTATGCTTCTTTGCTACCCTTTTAACTAGGCGACCCGCTCTCTGTGCCCGTACCCTGCTCACTCACTCACCAGTAGATGCGCGTCACACGCGGTGTATAGCGCGACACTGGTGTGCTGCGGGGCGTCAGTACGCAGGCCGGCGGCGGGCGTGGCCGCAGTGAGGGCGGCCGACCCGCTCTCTGTGCCCGTACCCTGCTCACTCACCAGTAGATGCGCGTCACACGCGGTGTATAGCGCGACACTGGTGTGCTGCGGGGCGTCAGTACGCAGGCCGGCGGCGGGAGTGGCCGCAGTGAGGGCGGACGACCCGCTCTCTGTGCCCGTACCCTGCTCACTCACCAGTAGATGCGCGTCACACGCGGTGTATAGCGCGACACTGGTGTGCTGCGGGGCGTCAGTACGCAGGCCGGCGGCGGGCGTGGCCGCAGTGAGGGCGGACGACCCGCTCTCTGTGCCCGTACCCTGCTCACTCACTCACCAGTAGATGCGCGTCACACGCGGTGTATAGCGCGACACTGGTGTGCTGCGGGGCGTCAGTACGCAGGCCGGCGGCGGGCGTGGCCGCAGTGAGGGCGGCCGACCCGCTCTCTGTGCCCGTACCCTGCTCACTCACTCACCAGTAGATGCGCGTCACACGCGGTGTATAGCGCGACACTGGTGTGCTGCGGGGCGTCAGTACGCAGGCCGGCGGCGGGAGTGGCCGCAGTGAGGGCGGACGACCCGCTCTCTGTGCCCGTACCCTGCTCACTCACCAGTAGATGCGCGTCACACGCGGTGTATAGCGCGACACTGGTGTGCTGCGGGGCGTCAGTACGCAGGCCGGCGGCGGGAGTGGCCGCAGTGAGGGCGGACGACCCGCTCTCTGTGCCCGTACCCTGCTCACTCACCAGTAGATGCGCGTCACACGCGGTGTATAGCGCGACACTGGTGTGCTGCGGGGCGTCAGTACGCAGGCCGGCGGCGGGAGTGGCCGCAGTGAGGGCGGCCGACCCGCTCTCTGTGCCCGTACCCTGCTCACTCACCAGTAGATGCGCGTCACACGCGGTGTATAGCGCGACACTGGTGTGCTGCGGGGCGTCAGTACGCAGGCCGGCGGCGGGCGTGGCCGCAGTGAGGGCGGCCGACCCGCTCTCTGTGCCCGTACCCTGCTCACTCACCAGTAGATGCGCGTCACACGCGGTGTATAGCGCGACACTGGTGTGCTGCGGGGCGTCAGTACGCAGGCCGGCGGCGGGAGTGGCCGCAGTGAGGGCGGCCGACCCGCTCTCTGTGCCCGTACCCTGCTCACTCACCAGTAGATGCGCGTCACACGCGGTGTATAGCGCGACACTGGTGTGCTGCGGGGCGTCAGTACGCAGGCCGGCGGCGGGAGTGGCCGCAGTGAGGGCGGCCGACCCGCTCTCTGTGCCCGTACCCTGCTCACTCACTCACCAGTAGATGCGCGTCACACGCGGTGTATAGCGCGACACTGGTGTGCTGCGGGGCGTCAGTACGCAGGCCGGCGGCGGGAGTGGCCGCAGTGAGGGCGGCCGACCCGCTCTCTGTGCCCGTACCCTGCTCACTCACCAGTAGATGCGCGTCACACGCGGTGTATAGCGCGACACTGGTGTGCTGCGGGGCGTCAGTACGCAGGCCGGCGGCGGGAGTGGCCGCAGTGAGGGCGGACGACCCGCTCTCTGTGCCCGTACCCTGCTCACTCACCAGTAGATGCGCGTCACACGCGGTGTATAGCGCGACACTGGTGTGCTGCGGGGCGTCAGTACGCAGGCCGGCGGCGGGCGTGGCCGCAGTGAGGGCGGCCGACCCGCTCTCTGTGCCCGTACCCTGCTCACTCACTCACCAGTAGATGCGCGTCACACGCGGTGTATAGCGCGACACTGGTGTGCTGCGGGGCGTCAGTACGCAGGCCGGCGGCGGGAGTGGCCGCAGTGAGGGCGGACGACCCGCTCGCTACGCTTTCCACTAGCGACCAAACGCACGATCGCTCGAATTTAGAGTACAAGTCGCGCAGCTTAACTTCCACCTGAAACAATTTATTTTAATTATTTTTCAAGACCATTGCTAGTAATTTGTACGTCATTAAACCTATTTTAGTTTTATAAGGAGCCTTATACCAAACTAGAAGCAACCTATTAGAAAAGTTTAAATTGGAGATGTTTCGGTAATAAGAAGACATGGTTTCATAATCAAAAACTGTAATTACGGGAATAAAGGATATAAATGCTGAGAAGAGATTTTATATAGTAAAACCAAAAACTTTCGTGTAAAATAAGTAACTTCGACATTTAAATTTTACAGAAACATGAAATTAATTTAAATAAATATGATTGGCTGTCTATATCAGCCTCGAATGTTATTTTCAACTAAGCTCACTTGTATTATAATGTGCTATATCTTTATTAGTCGTAAAATTACCATACAATAAATAATGAGCTTGAGAGCTCGATGGCACAACCGGTTAGCGCGTTCGACTGCGATCGTTGGACTTAAGCAACTTTCGCAGTGGTTGGTTATTGGATGGGTGACCAAAATTTACTACATCTATAAAATTATGTTTTTATAAAAGCATATTAGTAGCACTTTATAATATAATTGAGAACTTTTCAAAAATGGTTGTTATATACCCTAGAATAAATATTGAGCTCTCACTGACCTCCTGATGCCTAGCGTTGCACAGCATCTGTATGATCTGCGCGATCTGTATGAGGTTGAAGCGCGCTATGTATGAGACGGGGACTTCCACCACGCCGTGAGCTTCGGGGTTCACAATCGCCGGGCAGATGAAGTGGTGCAGCACGAGGTCCGTGCAGATGGCGTGCAGTTCACGCTCAGAAGGCCTGTACGGGAATAAATAAAACTGAGGATGATGCAGAGCGTAAAGGCACGGGCAAAGTATTTATATAATGTTGTACAAGGGGGCGTTTTTGAGTTCGCGGAATGGAGGGCAAGGATTGAAAATAAAATAAACTTAATCATTTTTCTATTTTCTTCACCTGCTACCCTAATACATTTTTCAGCTCTTTCAATCAGCTTATTTATACCTTCATAAAAAAAATTGGCTTTGTCCGAAAAATAAGCTGCAACCGCTTCCTTCACTTACTTCTTTATCAGTTGAAAATTTCTTTCCAAGAAGTTCTTTTTTCAGTTTTGGAAAGAGGTTATAATAACTGGGAGCCAGGTCTGGGCTGTAGGGTGGATGGTCTAAAATATCGAAGCCCACCTTATGCAGGGCAGCCGAGTTTTTTTTATTTAAGATTTTCCCTTTTCAGAGAGAAGGCAAAGGGTACAACGCCCATACAGCCAAGTCTTAAGTTATTTTAATCTTCTTTTTTTTACATTAGAATGTTGGTGTGACTCATTCTAATGTTACTTGGAGTGTTTGGCACGGAAAATATCGAGTTGGCTGTTCCGATAAGCTTCTGTGAGGTAGTCAACACTACAATAAAGTTCTCACGTCCACTTGACCGGAATAGCGTATATTTTAAAGATTCCACTAATTCTTCAGTCGTGCAGACGGTTGTTACACAAAATCACACCAAATTTATTTCACAATATCCACTATAAACGAATTTAAGAATAATTAAAATAAGCACCAACCGCACTCGATGAAATCCCGCCAAAAACTCCAGGGCAGCCAACGCAACACAGCTCTTGTGAACAGACGTGTTGTCGTGAAGAAGAAGGACACCATTGGTCAATTTTCCCCGTTTTTTTTTTCTTTATTGCTTTCTTTCAACCTCTCGAGGATAGAAGCATAGTATTCTCCGGTTATAGAAACGCCTTTATTTTTATAATCGGTCAACAGGATCCCTTCCGAATCCAAAAACACTCTTGCCATGATTTTTCCAGCCGATTGTGGCACTTTAAACTTCTTGGGTGGTGGTGTGCCTTTTTGTGCCACTGCATTGAGTCCTGTTTTGCCTCAGGCTCATAATGAGGAACCCAAGTTTCATTTTCAGTAACAATTCGACTCAATAGTCCATCCTTATCTTTGTTACAGAGGTCCTAAAACTTGCGAGAACACTCCACGCGGCGTTGTTATTGAGACGGCGCGTGAACACTCTTGGCATCCATCTTGCACTGACCTTTGTCATGCCCAAATGATCGTGTAGAATTTTGAAAAATTGTCGTATCTGATACTCCAACTATTTCTGCAAACTGTTTCTTCTTTAGTCTGGCATCTTCCAATATTATTTTTTCGACTTTTTTAATGATTTCCGGTGTAGTCATCTCGATCGCTTCAAGTGAGGTCCTGCCTTGTTTAAGGAGACTGTGCCACTTGTAAACCATGATTTTAGTCGGGCAAGAGTGCCCGTTAACAGATTCCGTCTCTTCCAGTATGTTTTGAACTGACTTTCCTTGCTTGGTAAGGAACTTTATTACGGCACGGTACTCGATTTTTTCTATAATACACACTTTCTTCCCGACTGAGTTGTTTGCTTGACGCCCAATGAAGACAAAACCTGGTATTTATACTAATATTGAGTATCTGAAATCGTGGCCAACCTGATAATGACCTATTTTTATCATCTTTTGTTATCTGTAACCTTATTCCTTTGTAGGATAGTTGTTATTAGGTTCAACTTAAACAGTTTTTGTCTTTGTTCATTGGCAATCGAATGTAGCTGCATAAGTTTAAACATACGCGGACAGTTTTTAGCTTTGATTTTGTATGCAACCGGTTATCTATAGAATTGTTGATCGAAGCTACAATGTACTAAATCTAAAAACATAAATACGAAGAGAGGTAGGGCATAATGAATTTTCTGCTCGAATGCTGATAATGCTATATTTAACTTAATAGAATTGAAATATAAATCGAAACTAATATAACAGTGATTTTTTTTTAAATCCTTCAATATAGCTGATGATTGAGAAACACATTATTTAAATTTACGTATTTAAGCGCGGAATGATTTGGTCCTGTGACTCGCCTCTGACGTCATTGCACCTATAGTCGAGATCGTCGCTCAAGAGCGCTTGCGCTGCTTGTAAATATTTTACATACAGCTGTTTGTTGATTATTTATAAGTAGACTTTTTATTTTAAGATAGTGGAAGAAGATTTCGTAAAAGTGCAAAGTGATAATTTACCTAAAATTGATAATTTACACAAAAAATAACTCATAAACATTATTAGTTGTTTTAACTGTCGTGCTTTGACACATAGGGATAATACAATATTTGTAGGAATTTTTTTAGCCTCAGCCATTATTATAATACAAAAAACACGACACGGGCAGCGCAAATAACAGCACGCCAATGAATTTATACATAAATGTATACGCGCCGCGTCGGCTAGGCGAAGTGACGTCACACGCTGGCTTGCCGCATGAAACGAAATTATTGTTACTTTAAAGTCCTATAACTTTTTCATTTGGAGAGATATTTTAATGATTCTATCCAATTTTTGTTTCATATTACTTTAATTTTAACTATTGATATATTAAAAAGAAAATGGAAACTTCTTCATTGCAGCACCCGCCTAGCGAAGTAACCTCCACTCTACTCTACTCTATTGTCGTTGAGTAAGGTTCCAGGGCTCCACGGGGTAAGGGATTGGTTCAGGGCAGGCAACGACGCATATGATATTTTTTGTGTCGCAAGCGTCTATAGGCGATGGTAACCGCTTATAAGCCGCGCCAATAAAGAAACGAATCTAAAACGGCGGCGGCGATCATGCGCTCTCACTCTTAACTATTGTTGTCTTTAGTCGCACACGGCGCGTACTGTATGCAAAATAAATATCAGTTCTGACTTTGTTCTCACACTGTCCCGACATTACCTAATAAACAACTTTTTCTTTCTATCTTTCTTTTTATTTGTTGACCTACCATCTGTCAGTGCAGGTACGTAGACGCCATTTTCGAATCGTTTCTTTATTGGCGCGGCTTGTACCATCAGCCGGCAGTATGCTTGTTTTCCACCCCTTTTAACATAAAAATATCACTATCCCTAAATGGAATACTCGGCCTGCTTACGTGTTCCCTTCTTACTTAAAACCTGGGATCCTTTAAAAGAGGCGTGAAGAAGCAACATGCAGGTAAGGATGGCTGATGTGGCAGGTAGAACTGCTGTACCAGCTATCTTAACGTCTGGACTTCACCATTGGTCCGACATGACCCCACCTCACTTTACTTAACATCAGGTGGGGTGGAGTGAAAACTAAGAACAAAGGAGATCCTAGACTCACCTGGAATGTTGTTTCAGTAGGTGCACGATCTGCTGCACTATCCACGCGATAGTGGATGGGAAGTTAGGCCAGTGGTCCCGCAGCGAGGCGATAAACTTGCTTGTGAGGTTGAACAGCGACTGCACCGTCCACTTGCGGTACCGGGCTACCTTGGCCGCGTACTCTGCGCTGTTGGTCTGCCCGAACTTCTTGAGACGATCGGCGGGCGAAAACCTGATAAACAGTCGAAATAAAATAACGGACCCGGTTAGATAAGAAAGCGCCGTATTTCTTCACGCCGCGGTCCTATTTTCAAGTTTTGTGGTCACGAGACTGGCTAAAAATGTAAGTGGGTAATACCCACTACGGAATGAAAAGTTTAAGATGAGAGAGTGGTTATTCTGTGAAAGGAAGAACTTTTTATTTTCTTTTTATACAAGGCGCAGAAAATTACATTAACCCAACTGATGAGTAGGATTTGCCAGACGTACCAATTTCGACGGCACGTACCGATTTTAAGCCCAACATAACATGATTCGCGCGCTACTCAGAATTCGATTACCAATGGCTAAAAGGCGAGTTAAAATTAACAAAATTTTTATTAAGAACGACTGCACTTGACCTCTAAAATATTACGTCTCCATAGCTTTATCGGAGTCTTCGTCTAGGGAAAACTGGTCTTATTGCAGCATCGCTCTAAGGGGCGGCTGCTACGTGGCGATGAAAAATTAGCGCGAATACTAGTTGACACTACTTAAGAAAAATTGCAACTGAACAGTCCCTACAATAATACCTCTCCATAGCCTTGTCAGGGTCTACGTCCAGGAAGAACTCGTCTTCGTGCAGCACCGCCATGACGGGCGCCTGGAGAGCCGCTATGAGGAACTGGCGCGCCGGCGTGTGGCTGTCGCGGAACACCGCGTAGAGGGACGCCAAGGCACACTTGCTGGTGCGGAATAATCTTGAACAAAGGCGTTTATAAACCATCGATTGCCTTTTATATAAGCGTTTACACAGTCAATGTTCAGAACAGCATCTATCAAAAAACACTTACTTTTGTGGATTACTAAATGGCACTAAATGATGTTTAATCAGTGATTGTACAATGGTCAGCAGTCTGGTAGTGTCAGAGGTGGAGCGGGTGCTGCCATAGAAGTCGATTATAGCTCAACACAGCATAATATTGATTAAGGACTCACCAACCAGATTTCAGATGCAGCCATTGTTTTAGATGATGCTGCGAAAAATGCATTATATTCACGAACAACGACCAACGTCACGCTGGTTTGCTATTAACAAACCCTGGCGACGCAGATAATTGCGCCGTGCATTCAATCAGCGGCGAGCAGCCCGAGGCGGCAACTCGTCGGTGCAGGTATACGTTGACGTGCGCTGACGCAAGCGTGGCAGATGTCGAAGCACCCCCATCCGACCAGCAGTCCGGCCCGCACCCGCTTCAGCCGATATTGAGCTTCTCCGTTCACAGCGTCACCTGACTAGTCGCACAGTCCGTGGTCCGTGCAGCTAACCTGCCGTGTTGCTCCAGTACTTACCAGGTAAACTAACTCCCGATCTACCACTCATCCTCCAGGCGTAACTGCGGAATCCAGTTATGAGTCGATCAACAGTGTAACATGCTAAAGCATGCTTTAAATACAAAATAAATATAAATAAATATATTAAATAACTTTATACAAAGTTAATATTCAGAACATCTAACAAACAATACTCACTTTCGTGGATCACTGGATGGCACCAGTTGATGTTTTATGAGTGATCGTATGACAGCCAGCAGCCTAGTCCTGTCTGACGTAGAGCGAGCACTGCCGTAGAGGCCGGCTACCAGGGAAGCCGGCAAACTGGGTGGCATGTGATCCTCTCCCAGCAAGAGGCACAGAGTCACCAGGTGTGGGGAGTCCCGCAGCCATCCCAGTAATTCGCCTAAAGTGTGTGCATCCTACCCAAACAGATAATATGCAATATTTATGTTTTTGATATACAATACATGTGCGATCCGAGTTCAGCTCTGAAGAATTCACTAAAAATACAGCTTCATATGAAAAGATATTCATGGAGTCAAGTCTTTCGATAACATTTATGTCCTTTGTATTTAAAAAAAAATACAACTTAATTCTATTACCAATGCCTCAAAGACATGGTTGTTCCCCTTTGTTTGGTTTGGTATGTAAAATGAAGTCCTTTAATCAAACCATAAAATTTATTTTTATAATATGTTTTGTTCATTATAAATAGGACAACACATAATGAATGATATAACAATGAAATAAAATACTTTTGAATATAAAAGCGCTTGGTTAATTACAATACAACAAAAGATTAAGTTACACAAGATGCAATGTTAATGAGGCTTATTGTTCAAGTCACTTTAACATCCATGTATGCATTCATGCTTTACTAGTACATATTTATTCATAGATTATAAAAATATGTATATTATTATTTAAATATAAAAAAAAATATTATCTCTGATTTATTATGAACTATTTTTCAATAGATGTGAGCATGTTCTTGTCTGTGTAAAATAATATTGGTTTCAAACAATTTTGGTTCCCATAAGTCATGTCCTCACCATTTTATTATTTCATCTAATACTAGCCTGTGATGTTGTTTCAAGGTCTTCTTAATGTCTTTTAGTTGAGTTCATTTTTTTGGATGGAACATTGAGAGACACATCTGATAACTAGGGCTTAAGTGCTAAACAAGGGAACTATATAGTAGACCAGCTGGTGGAAATTGTTTTAATATAACATGAAATTTAACAGTTGCACCAATTTTTCTATTAATGTAAATGGGATAAATGACTCCTAGTGTCAATTTCCGCTGCCTTTGAAGGTCATTTTAAAGTGGTCACAACTAATTTTATCCTTGACTACAACTGAATCGTGGCCCATGCAGCCTCAGCCTATTAAAGAACACAAATATAAATCAATTGCAAAAACAGATATTAACTTGATTATAATAAAATTAAAGCCAGACAATTTTAGGAGCAAAGGAAACCAAATTTATACATAAATATTGTTTGATTAACAATGTTTTAATTTTGTACGCACTCAATTTCATCAATTATATTATTAAACTGAAATAACGCTTTTAGTAAAAGTTGATTTTCTATTTATTTAGAATCATCAAATAATTTTTTGGAGTCAATTGATTCTTCATAAATATGACTCATGTCTTTTATCATTTTAGTGGGTGGATACTGAATCATGACAATTGCCAGAACAAACTTTAATAATTGCTTTGGGTTAACACTGTTATAATAATAACAAGACTGTTTTTCAAGAAGAAATAAAAGATTATATGAAAATTGTTATAATAATGCTCTCACAAAATAAATAATTATCTTCTGTAGGGTGGTGTGAAATAAAATTGTAGCATTTTGCCCTGGATACACCTACTAATAAAGTGAATGTGTAGTATTTATTGTGTATACACCAACTTACTTACCTTGTACTTCAAGACCTTGTAAACATCCACAAAAGTAGATCTCTCAAACCAACTTGCCCTTTGGCAAGCAGCTATAGAGTCAGCTTCACATCTTGAAGTGATGAGGTTTGACAGATTATGGCGCTGCTGCAAACATATCCAGGATACCTGCAGTAACTCCAAAGTCTTCTTTTCCACTTCTTCATTAAGTGTTTGCAACAGCTGTCGCTCCGAATTAATAAATATCTTCTCTCTTCTGAGCTGATTTGCCAATTCAGCTATATTCATGCAACCCTCTGATGTAGACTGCATGATTTTTTCAACTTTCTGAACATATAATCAAATCCCCGTTTACAGTGTATTTTTTCACTACGTTTTTAGGATTTTGATAAATTTCTAGTTCCTAAGTAATGCCAGAATACTTAGGATAAAAAAATCTATTCAATTTATTATGCGGTAAGGTATATGAGTACAATAAACACAATTATTTAGATCAATCTAACAAGTTTACAATAAACTGCAGAAATTCGCAACACAGAAGAATAAACACACGACAAAATCTAGACAAAAACGCGATTTATTTATTTGTCAAATTATCTGTCAGAAGTGGTCAGAGGCCTACATTTTTTTTTTTTTTTTTTTTGGTTAAGTTCTCCCTTTTCAGGGAAGGCAAGGGGAACAATGCCCATACAGCCTAGTCTTAAGTTAAATTATCCTTATTTTTCTTTTTACATTAGAATGTCGGTGTGACGCATTCTAATGTTTTTTGAAGTGTTTGGCACGAAATGTAACGAGCTGGCTTTTTCGATAAGCTTCTGTGAGGTAGTCAATACTACAATAAAATTCTCACGTCCACTTGACCGGAATAGCGAATATTTTGACGATTCTACTAATTCTTCAGTTACGCAGACAGTTGTAACACAAAATCACACCAATTTTATTTTACAATATCCACTATGAACGAATTTAAGAATAATTAAAATAAGACGCCAACCACACTCGATGAAATCCCGCCAAAAACTCTCAGAGGCCTACAGAAGGAGCACGGCTGCGTTCCAAACCTATGGTCCAAGTACAAATATGTGAAAATTTGACTAAGGATTTAAACAAATTATGTCAAAATTAAACGTAAGAGTTAAAAATTGTACTGGGAGCGTAGGTTAGAACGCAGCCCAGTGATTCACTTAGTGATGTGATTAATTTGCAATATTAATCAGAACAACAATCGATTTAGTAAAATTAATTAATCTTACTATGCGATTCAAAAAAAAATAGGAAAGCCAATTACCTCCAACTGTCAAATGTCGCTTGAAAAAAAAACTTGGAACACATTTTTTAGCTAAGAGCTAATCTTAGAATAAATACCAAACATTTGTAAACAAAAGCAGGAAATAAATCATATGAAACGTATATGGAAAAGGGAAATATAAGAACTTTAGGTTTATTATGAATACATGTAATAAAAACACCATTTTTATTATAAATAAACTTGTGGTTTTAAAACCTACAATAATGGATATTTTATTCTGTAGCCGAAAGCAGCAGTGATGATGATGACGATGATGATGACTACGCCAACGGTAGTGCAGGATGAGCGAAATTCAATAGCTAGATTCTGATTAATGTTTTTTCACACTCAGCTTTAATAAATAAATTTTATTAAAAATCTGATATTTTTTTCTCACTTAATCTTGGTAAATAGGTATTTATTATAGAAAATCTTTTTTGCTCACTTTACCTAACTGGTTTGAATTGACAGCTATGACGGTACAATATGGCGCTCAGTCGGTCCTATTCTTAGTTGAGTCGCATTGTAAAACTATAATGCGATTCAAATCAGAATAGGAAAGCCAATGACCTCCAATTGTCAAATGTCTCTTGAAAAGTACGGTTTGCAAAAAAAACTTGGAAACCTTTTTTAACACTGCTAATTCTAGAATAAAAACCACACATTTGTAAACAAACAAAAAAAAATTGATAATTAATATTGGTTGATATTTTTTTTCATTTATTGAGCTTTGGCTATGAATGGTTGATAACCTAAACCGTCAACCAAATGTCTCTTTAAATTGCGTTCAGAAACTCAATTTCAAGCATTCGTTTACCTAAAGGATGCATGTTCGTATGTGACCTAGTAAAAGTGCATAATTATTCATAACTACTCCGACGGTAATACAGAGATGAGCGGAATTGAAGAGCTAGATTCTGATTTATGTTCTTTCTCACAGTCTTAATAAATAAATATTATTAAAAATGTGATATATTTTTTCTCACTTAATTTAGGTAAATACTGGTGTCGATTCTGGCGTGATTCTCTAAACTTAAAACTAAATTTAACATCAGTCTCTCCTTTTTATTCTGTATAGAGAATGAAAAGGATGCACTGTTGTCAAATTTAAGTTTAGCTATAGAGAATCATGCCAGAATCGACATCAGTATTTATTATTATAGAAAATCTTTTTTGCTCACTCTAGCTAACTGGTTTGAATTGACAGCTATGACGTCACAATATGGCGCTCAGTCGGTCTTATTCTTAATTGAGTCGCATTGTAAACCTATAACAGTCGCGTAGTACAGTACCTTATACAGTCGCGGCACGATATGATGGCCGTTTTGACCCATTGCAATAGTGACGTGAAAAGTCAACCTGTTATCGAAAGAAATCCTTTAAAATCAAATACGAGTCACGTGTAGGTATTAAACTTCTTTATTTTTTTTACTAATTTCTAAATTCCAAAAAAATGCTGATTATAAAGATTGAATAAAACGAAAATATAAATTTTTACTCACGCTCAGCGATCCTATATGTGACAATATTATTAATTTCATGTTTTAATATTTTGAATTTCGAACAATACAAATACAGAGTTGTGTTGCCAATAAGGGACCGTTCAAGTATTACGTAAGCACTATAGGGGGGCAGGGGGTCTATGCTTTGCTTATTTTTGATGACATGGGTGGGTAGGGGGTCGAAATAGTGATTACGTCAGCATCAGGGATTTTGGTATCATGGACTGAAGACCTTAGAGCTAAGCTGAAGACTGTTAATTGGAATTAATATGTATACCAAAAAATCGGAAGAAGATTGTTTTGCTCGTAATAGTACTTAATAAGATTATAATATATGTACCTTACTCTATGTTGAATAGTGTGTCAATAAAGTTTGTTTAAATGAATACTATGTGCGTTAAAGTCCTCTATCCTAAGCCTATTTGCTCATGAAGCTCATGAAAGCTCATGAATGAATATAAAAACAGAAAACATCAAAGGAAAATGCATATACAGGTACCAATGTTTACGTAAGTACGGGAGGGGGGGGTAAGAGCTTTGCTTACTTTTGCTGACAAGGGGGAGGAGGGGGTAAATATTTGTAGTAAATCTGCTTTTTTTTTTTATAGATAGGTCCGACAAATGACTCCACCCCACCTGATGTTAAGTGAAGGTGAAGTCCAGACGCGAAGATAGCTGATACAGCAGTTCTACCTGCCACACCAGCCATCCTCACCCTGCCGGCCTGCATGTTGCTTCTTCACGCCTCTTTTAAAGGATCCCAGGTTGTAAGAGGGAGGGAACACGTGAGCGGGCAGAGCATTCCATTTACGGATAGTGCGACAAAGAAATGAGTCACCAAATTTTTTTGTACGCGTTGGAATTGTGGCCACAGTAAAACGGTGGGATAAGAGAGAATAACTCCTCAGAACACTCGCCGTGGTACAAACGATAGAACGCGCTTAGTGACGCCACGTCACGGCGTAATTGAAGAGGCTCAAGGTGTTTAGTCACCTTCTCATCGCCTATGATGCGGATCGCGCGCCGCTGTAACCTATCCAAAGCATCGAGCAAGTACTTGGCGGAGCCATCCCAGAGGTGCGAGCAATATTCCACGCAGGACCGCACTTACACAACAAGCACAGTTGATCGGGCGTGAAAAAACGCCGCACCTTGTTCAGGACTCCGAGTTTGCGTGAAGCTGTTTTGATCACGGTTTTGATGTAGTCCTTTGGATTCAGGTCTGAGCGAACTTCCATACCGAGCATGGAAATGTTGCTCTGCAGCGGTAGTGTTGTGCCCTGAAGAGATGGAAGGGGAAGGAATGGCGATGTTTTTGCCGTGAAAGCGCAAGCCTGAGTTTTCTTGGCATTGAACTCAACTAAGTTCCTGGTACCCCATTCGGAAATGTGGTCCAAAGCCTGATTGAGTTCAATGACAAGATTTTCCCGTTTCTCCTTGGTTACTGCCTGCCCAGCCGCTGCTTGTCCGAGATACCCCGCATGCACTGTACTATCGTCTACATAGCAATGAATATTCCCAAGAGGAATCAAGTCATTGATATGCAGCAGAAAGAGAGTGGGGGACAGGACGGAGCCCTGGGGAACGCCGGCATTCACTGACATGAACCGCGAACTGCTACCATCCGTAAGGACACGAATTCTACGCTCATGCAGGAAGTCAGCCACCCAAGAACAGAACTGGGCTGGCAGACCGTATGCCGGAAGCTTGGAGAGAAGGCTTTTGTGCCAGACCCTGTCGAACGCCTTGGCAATGTCAAGGCTGATAGCCAACGACTCGCCACGCTTGTCGATAGCCTCACCCCAGATATGAGTTAAGTACGCTAGAAGATCACCCGTCGATCGTTTCGGTCTAAATCCATATTGACGATCATTAAACAGGGAGTGATCCTCTAGGTAGCGGGTCAGATGGTTATTAAGGACCCTTTTTAGAACTTTACATAAAACTGAGGTGACTGCTATTGGTCTGAGCGATCCCCTTTTTTGGGCACCGGTTGCACGTTAGCATCTCTCCAAGTCTCCGGCACACGCCCCAAAGAATACGAGCATTGGTACAAGCGCGTGAGCACATTTTTTAAGCACAAATGCTGGGATGCCATCAGGTCCACTAGCTTTCCGGACGTCGAGTGATTGCAATTCGGCACGAACTTCACGCTGCCTGATTTTAATATCAGGCATCGTTGTGCCACAGTGAGGTAATGATGGTGGCAGTGCATTGCAATCATCGATTCGGGAGTTAGCCGCAAAGAGTTTTGCCAGTAAATCGGCTTTCTCCTGCGGCTTATGAGCTAGTGTTCCGTCTGGGCATCTCAGAGGTGGCAGCGAGGGCTAGCAGAAGTTATTTTGCACGGTCTTGGCCAAACGCCAGTAGCTACGGGAACCCGCAGGATGCGTAATAAGTTCCTGGCCAACACGTGCAACACGCTGGGCATCCGCTCTGATGTAAGCCTTCTTACAGGCCTTGGAAGCAGAATTGTAGGCTGCTTTGAGTGAATCGACCCCGGGATCCTTGAGAGCGCGGACTCTGATCCAATCACGATATGCCGCTTGCTTACGCGAAGCAGCTTCAGCACAGTCGTGATTGAACCAGAGGTTACGTGTGCCCTTCCTGATGAGATCAGAATGAGGAATATAGTATTCCATACCCATTATAATCTCCTCAGTAATGGCAACGGCTGTCGGCGTATAGATTTGGCTCGCAGGAGATGCCATTAATTAAAACAAACGGATATAAAATTTTAAACTATAATGAGCAAAGTAGGTGAGTAACAAGTACAAAGTTGAAAAAAGGAATGAATGCCGTATACAGAAGATCCTTTATAATTAAAAT